TCATCTTGGAGGGAAGGTAGTATGTTGACTGATAAAGAAGACTCACCATTTAACAGCTCACTGGAATATAATTTGATATCTATAGACCAACAAGTTTCTAACTGATGAGAAGATTTCATACCTGTAATAAATCATTTATTCAAATTAAATAGTAAAAACAGGGATGTTTCCTATTATTTTATGCAAGTGACTCCACTTAGCATACATGATCTGACCAATTTGTTATTCATGTCCTGTTCTGGGCCATTTAGTATTCAACCCACTAATACACTAGTACTAAGTAATGTATCAAATACTGTGTACCATATAAGATTTCCTTGCTGTATGTTAGGAATTGCAGGGTATCTATTGTTTTAAATGGACTAGTAGATGTAGTGTCTTACCATTTTTAAAAGTATTTTGGATTGGTTAGCATAAATTATGACGACTCTGGATGGTCATTCATTCTAAACACAATCACCAAATATAGATGAAGTTTGTTAAATCAGAGTTACTGGATTTACCTGCAAAATAAAAAGAAACTTAACATTAACATCTGCATTTTAATCATGTCAAAAGTTTTTTTTCGACTCTGAAATATAACAATTAAGGGACTACATCCCTTCAGTAACAGAAAGTCCCCTCACAAAAATTCACAAGATTCCCCCTTGCTTAAACCTAGGCCTAACAGTTGGAATACCTGAGAAATAATTCAAGTAGTTTTCAGAAAAACCAGAAAGTTAATTATAAAAAAAAACTCACCACATATAAAACAAGATCTATTTGTCAAAAGGGATTTAAAACTTTGCATACTAATAACTTCTCTGAACTGCTGTCACTGAAAAAAGAATAATAATTACAATAAATACAAACAACATTGTGTTGTGAATTGTTTCAAAAAGTAAAATTTTACTAGGTATTAAAGGGCTGTCATACTTTTCTCATAAATCACAAGACAAAAATCTGAATTCTCACAATAGAAAGCTTGCATAGATATGACCTAATAACCATCCCACCTCCTAATTCAAAACCTGTCTACCCTCACCCCTACCTTAATATCAGGACACCATCCCTTTAATACCCCTACCCCTCTGTCTACCTTCATCCCTACCTTAATGTCACTAAACTAACAATTATACGACACCATCCCTTTAATACCCCACCCCCCTATTTCTAATCCTGTCTACCCTCATCCCTACCTTAATGTCACTAATCTAACAATTTTAGGACACCATCCCTTTAATACCCCACCCCACTATTTCTAAACCTGTCTACCCTCATCCCTACCTTAATGTCACTAAACTAACAATTATAGGACACCATCCCGTTAATACCCCCACCCCCTATTTCTAAACCTGTCTACCCTCACCCCTACCTTAATGTCACTAAATTAACAATTTTAGGACACCATCCCTTTAATACCCCCACCCCCTATTTCTAAACCTATCTACCCTTAAGCATAAGTCTTTTGCTCTATGGGCCCGAATTGCACAGCAGTTTACAATTTTGTGTAGCACTTTTTAACGTATGAAGTACGGTATGTAAAGGTTCTGAAAAGTATCATTAAACTACATGATTCTTGAATTGTAATTTAAATACCAGTGCAAAATATAAATACAAACAAAAGTGGGCCATAATGATACTCCCGATATCTTCCATGTTATTTCTGAATTCATATTTGTCTTATTTATTCTCGTGACATTGAGTCTAAATTTTCAAGGTCACGCGCGTAAGAATCTAGATTGAGGAAAGTCCAAACTAACCGATAATATTTAAACCTCGAAAATTGGTGACGTCATCAAAAACAGAGTTTTAGTGGAATTGCAGGAGTCATATATACGTCTGAATGAAGATTGGAATGTTGCAAGTTGATGCTATCGGTGTCCCTCCCTTATACACATAAAAGATTTAAAAAATCTCTTTACAATCCCTTTAACAAAACGTTTAGTAGATCTAAATGAAATGAGCTATTCAAGGTATTCATGCTTCTGATTAACTTCTTTTTTTGTGCAATTCCACTGAAGTAAAACTGTGCGGTTGATAACGTCAATTTCACAAAGACTGTAGATTCGGCAATAGTGACGTAAAAAAAAAACTAGTTTTAGTGGTATCGGAAAAAATAAAACAGAGGTCTGACTAGAAATTGGAATGGTACAAATCGATGCTATTGGTGTCCCTATTTCTAGAAAACCAGTTTATATTCCTTATAAGTTTCCAATCAAAATTTGAATGAAGAAAATGGCTTACCTTCTTGTGAATAAGTGTCCAATATTTATTTTGTCACTCCTTCCAAAAGTGTCATCGTTGAATCCATTATTTTATAGAAAAATCACAAAATAATCTAAATCCATCCGGAATGATACAGATAGTACCAAATAAATCCCAATCCACAGATATTAGTCAAAGATTTAGCACTAAAAATATCGAAATAATTCAAAACCATCCAGAATCCAATACAGAATATATCATAAGTCATAAGTCACCACTGATAAGACCGAAATCCCGCTCAGAAATGCGCACCTATGGATATGCAAACGATGATTTTACGTTAAACTCCTCCCACTTTTTGACTGACAATTTGAATTTCAGCCAATCAGCAGCCACAATTCTGCATCCACGTGCTCTACGTGTCAACTCTTCCCGCCAAAAAATTGTTTTGAGTTTCTGATGGTTTTAAACTGTCACCTTCTCGTCAATTTGGTGAAAGTTGATAAATTATTAAAGGAAAAGATCCACCAATATTTCAGAGTGTCTGGTTGAAAGAATTTTGAATAGAGGTACTGGACTTCAAAATCCTTTGTAAAGTCTAAAACCTGTTCAAAAATTTTTGTATCAACGAATAAAGTATATTTCGTTAAGTTACCGAGGGAAAAAATTGTCAAATTCACATGTTTGTGAAGTAAATTACACGGAAGGGGACCTTTAATTCTTGACAGAACAAATAACATGATTGCTAGATTCGCGCCAAATATTACCCCGAAATTTAAAGGGATATAGCGTTACTGTAACAATAAAGTTCACCATTATTCAAGTTTTAGGCCTAAATCTGGCTACCCTCAAAGAAAATAATTAGAAAATTTACTGAAAAGCTTTGACTTTGTGACTACAAAAATGTGGCAATAAATTCTGGGACGAAAAAGTGCAAAAGATACAAATATGATTGCAATAGAACAGATTAAACCACAGTAAATTTAAAGATAGTGGATCAAATATGGCCATATTCGGTATATGGTTGGTGAAACAAGATCCTCATTGTTAGATCATTTAGGCTTGCTTACACACAAAGTCGTACGAAAATCGAAAATTCCGAAAATCGTTTGAAAACTGAAAGAGCTATACCAATTTCAACATAGGCTTATTGGCTCAGGGGGTTGGAAGGGGGAGGGGGGGGGGGGGGGCTTGTTTGCACGAAATTTTGCTACGATCGAGACGAGTGGTACAAATAAGGGGCAGAATGACTCAAATATTTTAGAACACATTTATAATATTTATGTTTATTAGTGTAGAGTTATGTTAGTGAACTAAGGGTGACGTCAAATTTTAAGTTATAATAGCACTGCAAAATTTCGAATGAGGACTAGTGTGAGACAGTATGATATGAATTGCAATAAGTTCCTATCACGGCTAGACTCGCAAATTGCCCGTAAACTCTGAGTATTATTCTACATAGGCCATATATATATCGATTAGTGTATGTCTTTAATGGGCCTCCGTACAAAAAGTAAGGGAGACAGCAACTTAGTGATTTGATATTTCGAATGAGGACTAGTATGAGATAGTATGAATTTCAAAATGTTCCTATGACGGCTAAGCCTTTTAATTTGCTGTTTAACTTTGGTAATTTTCAGCTTCCATAAAAAAAATATTTAATTTAAATGGGCCATAGTACAAAGACTAAGAGAGTTGGACATATAGGTGTTTGCAACATTGAAAGAATTCATATTATTGTTATTAGCATGTTGCACTTAGGGCAGTCATTCTTGGATAATCCTATAAGATTTTGCAGATTTGTAAGAAGCACGACTGTAAAGCAGGGAAAAACAGTTAATCTGATCTTGCAGACTAGAAAATAGTCAATTTAATAATAATATATCATTTATTAATGAAAATTCACACATAAATAATAAGAGTTACACAGCAGGTAGGATAAAAGATTTGAACTTTAGGGAAGAACGCACCTTCACAATGGTCGATGTATTACTTCATCTTATACCATGACTGCAATGTCCATTTTCTTGTTTCATGGTCAGCAATTTCATTTGATTGTATGTAAGCGAATACAGCCAAGCAGAGCCCTCGATTTCGTGCATAATTATTTTTTAGTCTTTCTGTCAAGGGTTTAGATTGGCTGTATTCACTGGCATACAATCAAATCAAATTGCTGCATTCACAAACTTCTGTTAAGAAGAAAGTGGACCATTGTAGTCAAGGTATAAAATGAAGAAGCAATAACTTGACCATTGTGAAGATTGTGGTTTAAAATTTTAGGGTTAACAAGGGGGTACATTTCTTTCTTCAGGAGTTGAAATTCTACTTGTATTCCATATTCAGAGATTCAGGCCTCTGTTTCTTAAAAAATAATAAAATACATTTATTGTAAGTGGAGAATTTCAATTAAAAATTCCCCATTAACAACAAAAATTAATAGAATGAGAAACACGGCCCATTAAACAATCTTGCAATTTTTATTTAAGTTTGTTTGCCTAATTTCTCACGACAAAAATTAATAACAAGATTTTTAAGAAAATGGCTCCACATGGAACAGAGAGAAATGCTATGAGGGTAAGGACTCAAAATACTTGGCAAGATCAACTGAAAATGTTACAAATATTTTGCAAAATAAAATCCACTTATAACACTCCAACCCAAAATAGTTCTTGCAAATTTCCCAATAAAAGAAAACAAAATGACAGAATTAGCACTTTTCATTGCATAAATAACAACCTTCAGTGGAAAAAGTAGTTTGCTACAAGATATAATACAGAAAAGTTTGAGAAATCTAAACAGTTTTAGTCCAAATGATTTAATATTGATCTTATTATGTTATGTATTTATACATATTCATCAGTTCTACTGATTGCCAGTTTTTCTAAGAATACCAAGGTTAAAGGATTGAATTCTAGTTGTCTCGTTATCTGAAGTTGCACAATATGAAATATTCGCTCAACTAGTGTTTTTATAAGTGTTGAGCCGCTATGATGTTAAGTATTTCGTAGTTATATTTATGAAACTTCAGATAACTGTGATCATGGACACATACAGCTTCTATTTTCACCATTCCATTTTTCATCTCCAATCTCACGAAAAACTTCACCTGACAAAAAATATTCTAGCAAAATGTTATTTTAAAAAGTGAAATCCACAAGTTGTTCTAGAAATGAGGAATCATAATGGTGAAAAGTGCTAGCTATAAGTAACCCTTTGTAATTGTTATCACTGTTGAAAGTGTACTAGCTCCAAAAACATAAGATTTTTGAATTCATAGAGAAACACAGTTAGTTTTCCATTCTATATAGGTTTAGTATGTTAGTGAGAACAGAAAGGATTAAAGGAATAGAACAAACTTTTTACAATCATATAGGTTTCTATATACAATTTATCTCAATACACAGACAGAAATAGATTGATATTTCACAGACAATTTGGTAACCAAAATACTTGTTTATTCAAGGTTCATCAAATCTTCAAAATTTATGTTTCTTTCAGAATTTCGACCGATTTCGGTTAATTTTACATGTTAAGTAATAAATGTTGGGATGGATATTTCACAGACAATTAGGTACCAAAAATACTGATTTCCATGGTGTCAAAATTCCAAAGATTGTTAAGTTTACACGTTTAGTTAACAACAGCTTGGACTTATAAGAGTTAGGTAAAACTAAAATAGTATTTACAGAGGAAACCTTTTTGAAAATCTCAGCCGTATCATAATAGATTATGTGATTCACAATGATACAGTAAAACCTTGAACGATGAGTTAGTAGACTTAGAATACTTTGTCTCAAATTACACTTGATATTGTGCTGATATACATTAAAATCCCTTCAGAAGATTGACAAAAATAACCCAGTTTCTCTGTAAGATAATTCTGACTGTCTGTATCAATATCCAATCTATTTCTGTATCCCGATCTACATTTTAAATAATATTTGTTTTCTAAGCAGTTTAGTAAAATTTGTTTGTATTCTCAAATTTTGATGACTTGCTGACTCTTGAAGCTTAATTAAATTTGAAAACTTTTTTCCTAGTGACAATGTATGCTTATAATTTTGTGTTATAACCAAATATTAGCTGAATTTTTTCTAATCTATAATGCCTGTAGTTCCAAACACAAGCACCTACAGTAGTCCAAACCTTACTGACCAAGCTGTGATAGATATTACTGGTGTGGGTCAGAATGTTCTAGACTACTGTGGTAGGAATATCCAGTGCCAATGAGGTGATAATGATAACTGGACAATGAGTAAATAAATGATTTATTATACACAACAAACCAGTATTGTATTGAGATATTCAAAGTTTTCATGCCCCAACCAGTGAATTTATGGATCGTAATGAATGAGTCTGAGTTTCACAAATCCAATGATTGTTGAAATTCCCTGCTTAATTAATGAAACTTATTTACTAACTTAATAAAAGTTATGAATCAAAATGCCAACAAAAGATCTCAAAACTATTCAGTATAAGATTTCAGCCCACAATTTTATGAACAATTGCAATCTCCAAACAATAGTCAAATGAATAGTATTCCAGCTCTAGCTTATTGCCTCAAAATTTACTCCAATCCAATGCTTTAATAAATGCTCTGCTTTAATTCACGCAAGTAAGCTAACGATTTGTCGTAAAATTACCCTATCATTAATAACACTACAAGAGATCTTTAAATTATAATATAGGATTTCAGTCAACAATCTAATGAACAATGGCAGCATTGAAATTACTCTAAACTAATTTCACATATTTCAGCTGTAGCCAATTTCCAAAACATGTACTGTATTTATGTATGAACCCCTTATGTTCAACAGATCTATTTGACCCATTATTTCTCAACTCAGAATTTTAACCTAAAAACATGAAGATACTACCTATATGTTTCTTTAAGCTCATAGTTCCAGTCATCTGAAAGGTAAATCTTATTATCCAATCAGATTACTAGATTAATGCTTAATTTTCATTCTTGGATATATTCCACATTGAGGGGGTGTACCTTTTTTCCCTTGTATTAAACAATGAAAAAAGGCATAAAACCTTATGCATCAATTTGTACAATTCCAATTTTCAATCAGACATCTGTGGTAATAACAAAAAAATGATTGATTGGTGACGTCACTAATCATGATGTGATGTCATCAAACACTTAGTTTCAGTGGAATTACTGGAACCACAGACACCTGACTGAAATTTGAATGGTGCAAATTGATGTTTGGAAATTGATGTCATACTCATACAATCTTTTAGAAAACCTCTTTGCAATCTCTTTAAATTGACTTATAAAAGGACACCTGAATTAATATCATTCACCAACAAACACCAGAAATAGCATGAAAACTCTGAATATGTCTGACATTATAAAAATAACATTATTAAACTGCTGCTGTGTTTTGTCTCTTCAAATTATTAGTCTCACTTTGCACAAAACTGAAAAAGAAAGTAAAATAAAGATTATTCATTCATTCTAGCAGCTAAGGGAAATTAAGATCAAATTTCACAGGTCGTTGAAAAATGTCCGACTGACAAAAACATAAATAAACAGCCCTATTCAGCCATAGGATTCAATCAATATTTGGCATCATTTCGTATGTATCCATATTCTCATCTCTATGAATTGGGGAATAACAGGGAGAGTTCTACTGTGCATTACTCAATTGAGACTTGCAAGTTTTTCTTTTTCCTTTTCAAGTCCTTATTATTGTGTTGTAAGAGAGTAGTGAATAATACAGCTAATAGATTTGCCATAGCATCAAAGATTAATGTTAACATTAGGTTCCTGAATTATTCACTATCGTAGAAATTTATCAGCCAGTATACAGTGACTCTGCGTGTCTAAAGAACAAAAATATTTGATTGGATGCACTTACCAATTATCCAACTCTTTCATCATAAATCATCCTGACTTTTACGAACAAGGCGACCAACTTTTCTCTTGTAAACATCGGGCTCCTCTCTTCTCAATTTCTATAATTAAACACAATCGATTACAAATAGAAACTAAAATGAATTGACACACAGTTTACAACGACGAAACTCTATTCAGGAATCCTAGTATTTTTCTAATTCAGATATAGATACATCCACACGATTTTCTGAATGACTACATCTTTCCATGTCGAACCCTATTCACTCAGCCGAATTAAAATTAAACGAAACTTTCGTTCTGTTTTTTTTTTAATAGCTTTTATTTATAATGTAGCCACTTCAGGTAGGGTCTTGATAAACACTGTGTCACAGCACTGGAGAGATAAGAAATTTGATTTGTTAAAGCAGACGTTACCAAGTTAGGTCAAAAGGAACATTTAAGAGGGCTGTCGTTAGACCCTAACTGAAGTGGCTATACTAAAATAAAAGCTAAATAAACGGAACGAAAGTTTGGTACGAAATGAATACGATATGATTTTGCTACCTTTGCTCCTTATGGCAGCTTAATTTCACATAACTTGTTTTTAGTAAAATTTTGTCTTGAAAGAAATCTGATATCATTTTGCCATCAAAGCTCCTTGTGGCAGGTTTATTGCACTATTATGTTTAAACTTATTTTATCTTAGATTACAACTTTATCTAGATAGAGAGAAAAGCTAATACATACTGCTGCATCAACATTAGCTGGGGATTCATCATTAGGATCAGCTAACATAGAAATAACACTGAGTAATATCGTCTCTACTGTATGAACTGGTAGCCAACGCTCGGAAGCTTTCTCATAACCATATTTATCATCTCCTGGTTCATGTAATATTGATATACACACACTTCCATCAGGGCCAACTGAAATATACATACAATAACATTGATATACACACACTTCCATCGGGGCCAACAGAAATATACATAAAATAACATTGATATACAAGCACTTCTTTCAGGGCCAACTGAAATATACATACTATAACATTGATATACACACATTTCCATCAGGGCCAATTGAAATATACATACAATAACATTGATATACACACATTTCCATCAGGGCCAATTGAAATATACATACAATAACATTGATATACACACATTTCCATTTCAGGGCCAATTCATAATTAATCTACTCACTATTTGGGTGAAACATTTCTGTGACAAATTTCATTTTTGGAGGTCTGTGTGGATATTCTTTAGGGAAAGTTAATTCAGCTTTAAACACTCCTCCTTCACTGAAATTATCAAAATGTAATATTGTTTCGTCAGTCATCATCAACAAGGCAGGATCATATGACCTATCAACAACACTGAGGCAGTTTACCCAACTTTCTTTATCTACAGCACAGCCTGTAGCACTAAGAGACTCAATTTAATGTCTTATCCAAACAACTAGATGGTTTTTCTGAAGTCAGCCCCTCTCAAGTGCATCACTGATAGGAGGAAACTGGGTTGAAAAATCTGAAGATACCTCAACCAATGCTGGGATTTGGACTATCTACAAGAGGCAAAAAACTACTTACTAAATTGTGTCACCAGGTCCTAAAATTACAACCTCCCATTTATATAAATCATCATCATCAATCAGACCAGCAGAGAAACCTTCTACAGGATGTTTATTTAATTCTACAAATAACAATTATTACAATACAAACAAACTAACTTTGGTTCTGTCATTTAGTAATGCTCATCAAGACTTATTCATCCAAGGATTAGAACCAAGAGACATCATTCTTTTAACGTAACATAAGCAAATGACGCCATGTTACAAAGAACAATTGATGCTCTACTAGACTGTGCTTTAGAAAATTTATCTATTTTAATCTCAATTTCCACCAATGTAGAATTTTACAATTTACAATTTCAACCTTATGGATTTTACTCCTGTAGTTTCCTTTCATGTATTTAACAACCGAAATGTATGATGATAGATTAAGATGGGCTACTTTTATTTCTTTCATCAACATCAATATACATTTAAAGGGATAGTTGCGCCATGTTTTTGACCAATCAAACCTTAGTCCCAGAAACAGGAATTCTTTTGCTTAGCAAATCAGTAAACGTGTTCACAGATCACCGTCGAAATTTGAGCCTTCAAATCCATGTGAGTCCAGAACTATTCACATGAAAATTACGAGTTGTCTTTACTTGAGACACTGCCATATATGCTTATAGAAGAGATATCTCAAGAAAAAGAAATTATAAATTTGAGATATTTTTGAAGGAATTATGCGATTTTTCGTACATTTCTAGTACTTCTGAAACTATTTACATAATATTCAATCAAGACTCAAATCAACCCCCATAAATGGGCACTATCCCTTTAAATTTATTGCCATTATCAGGTGCACATGGAACAAATTTTGAGCCTAGTTTTAGGCTACATCAAATCAAAGTTATTGATTCAATCAACATGATTTGATTTTTTCTGCCAGCTGGAAGTGGGCTACTGATAAACAAAACAAAAACTGAAAAAGGAAATCAATAAAAAAAATGAACGGTCAAAAAAAACAAGAAATTATTGAATCACTGACTCTTAACTGAATCTAATGACAAATAGAGATGAATTATTAAAGAGAGGGGATTGTTTGCCAAACACGATTTTCAAACAAAGCTACACGAAAACGGAAAAGGAGAAAGCGGATGAATGAATAAATAAGTCGAGCTATCAACTGTAGCAAGGAAGAAAGAGAACGACATGACAAAAAGTTTGACCAATTCGTTCAATTTCGCAGTTTCTGAGATAAATTTATGTCCAAAAAACTATTCACCGATAAATTTTTCATGTACACATACCTTTGAGTTGTTTTCTGAGTAACAGAGACGACTGATCTTGGGCCATGGCCCTGAAATTATCTGTTTTCAATTCACTCAACTTCAGAATGAAGAAAAGTCAATTTCTGTTTTCATTACGGCGCATGCGTATTGCAATTTTAGGACAGTAACAGGGGGAGATAATTATGATTTAACTGTGGTCTTAGTTACTAATTACGCAGTCACTTCATCATAGAACTGACTTACTTCATGTTGAAGTCCGTTATTTTATAATAAAACTCTTCATTTTCTCTATAAAAATTAACTGATCCACGTAATAAATAATCATTTTATAACATTTTTATTAATAGTGAAGGGATTGTTTTATATCAGGACAGGTTGTTATTTGTGTATCCACTAAGGCCACTGAGCTATTATGACTAAGGCTAGTTTAAAGGGAAATAACTCTACTAAGTCTAAGAACATATTTAATTTATAGACCCAGTTCATATCTGACGTGACCCAGTTTCGTTCCACATGCATTTTATATCAATGTCAAGGCCGTGTATATTTCTTGAAATTCAATGGAATATGAGTTTTTCTATGTCCATCTGTAGGGTAAGCCCATAAATTAATGTAACATTTAAGCAAACTCATCTCATGCTGCTGCAAAAATGAAATCATCATCTAGTTTAATAATGGGGTTGTCTTTAACATTAAAAGAATAAAAGTAAACTAACAGGATAGGAATGAAAAAAAAAGGACCCATATATAATTGATAAGAGCTCATCTCATATTAAAATGCAAACAGTTTGTGGTTAATACCCCCTTTGGTTAATACCCCCTTAACCATCAATAAACCCTTCCATACCTCCATACTTTTAGTTGAGTTTTAGAAGAGTTTATTTACAAATAAAGGGAGGTTAATTGATGCCTGTGAATTTTATTTTAAATTCAGCCTTAAAAGAGCTAAAATAAAAATAACTAGATGTCATTTTATCAGAGAATATATTTCAACAATTTTTTTTTATAAAGCGTTATAAAGTTGTGTATATTGATAACAAAATATCTTTTAGGTTTAAATCTTGACATCTTTAAAGACCATTGGTCGCCATTTTCCACGGGCTGATTTACTTTACCAGTAAATATTCTAAAACCAAAACTGTAATTCAAGAGCCTTGGTCTAAACAGGCATTAGTGTGAACATTAATAATCTCAGAGGGAAACATTTCCGAACAAATCGGACACTGAACTAGAACATCCTGTAATGTAGGAATCAATAATTCTAAATCATCCTCTGAATCAGAAACTAGGACATCATCTGAAGCTGGTGATGATGATACTGTCTGAGAATTGTATTCACTGTCCCGCTGTGATGACACTTGTTTTGTCCCTAATGATACTCTATTCCTGTTGGAGTCAGAGTTATTTCTATAAACATTATCACTCAATGATGTCCGAGAAGAAATTAACTCCCTTGCTTCTGAATTATGAGATTTTGACAGGTTCCTCCTACCAGTTGAAGTGTTTCTGGCACTAGAATTTGGTGGTAAGTCGGGAAGAGGTGGAATGTCTATGATAGAAGAGTTAAATCGAGCTGAACATTGTATAAAATGATGATCTAACAAATAATCCTTCATTTTCACTGAAAAATATAAATACAGTCATTAATTCATTTATTTCATTCATCCATTTTCAAAACATCAAAACTGGCCAGGTTTTCTCGAAACGATCTCAGTTCTAGGATATTCTGTATATCTAATGACAAGCTAACACTAAGAAAGTTTCAAGAATATGTGGCCTGAATTCTATGATTTGCACACCTCCATTAGTAGAATTTCAGTTTTGGTATTATAAATGATTAATATATAAACTCCACCAGACATTGTTACTTTTCACAAAGAATCTAAATTTTCAACAGCTAGACTTAAGTCAAATTATTCAAGCATCTGAATAAAAGGGTGTCCTGATGATGATTATTTATTTGAAACACATGTCAGATTCTCTGATGCAAGAACTTTATAATACAATGTTGATTGAAGATAACTAGACAGATCTTTTTTGAAACATGGGTAATCCCTTACAAATATATCCTACAGTCCTGTTTGAATAGCACATGCATTTGTGGGGAATCTGTGACATCACCGCTTGTGAAAAAGGTCTATATGAAGAAGATCACTTACCATTACAGATAGAACAAGGCAACAATCTCGATACAGATTCTTCTCTACCAGTTGATTCACTCCTGGAAGGAAATGAAATAAGCTTATAGATCCTTGACCTTTCTGCTCTTTCTATACCTGGAGGAAATCTCCACGATTTACCACAATGGGGGTAGTTTTAGACTGATCTTTTTCAATTTACAATGTAGGTCAGACAAAAGCTAGTTTTCAATTTTATGACATCATTTCTCTTCCCTTTTCTATTCTAGGGATCCCAGCAAGAATTAAAAAAAATAGAGGAAACAGAACATATCAACTGAGGGTCAAGGGGGTCAAAGGGAAGATTTTACCATTTTTAGATACTTTTCAAGTCATTTCAATCGTTTATCCCACTTTTGTTGGTTTTATTTCAAAATTAAACAAATTTCCACTACAACTAGCCAGAAAGATAGAGGAATTTCTTTAAATCAAGAAAGTCTGGGATCCCTGTCAATCCCCTGCATACACCACTTCTTAAAAGAAAATGATGATGTATCAAAAACACAAACCTGTTTGGAGTTGATCCTAAAACTTGACCTCCTCCAATATTTAACCATACATCATCAGTCAATAGGATTGGTGAATCTTCACTTGATTTCTTTTCACGTCCTTTCCCCTGGGATCTGCCCCTTCCACGCCCTTTTTTACTACCACTATCATTGATCTCAGTATCAATGTCATTAGACCCTACCCTTCCCCTACCTCGATCCTTTCTCTCCGAACCAACAAATTTCTGACCACCCATAATATAAACATCTGTTTCACTTCTTTTACGTTTTCTAGCCGAGACAGAAGTTTTTAAAGTTGATGAAGAATAGTCAGATTTTGGAGATTCGTGATTATTTGATCGTGTAATTTTACTGTCACTGTGTGTCAATTTAGACAAAGCTGATGATTTGGGTGTTGACAAACTGGATCTATAACTGGCATTGTCTACTATCTCTATGTCTCTTCCATTTTTTAAAGGTGTCTCACCATATTGTGAAGAAGCACTATTAGCACAATTTGAGTTTGAGAGTGTGACAGCTTTACTTTGATTTACCATCACTATTTTTTTAGTTGATGAAGCGTCTACACAATTTTTAATCTGAGATTTGATACACCCTTTAATTGGTGTTTTAAGATTTCTCTTTTGAGCACTATTGGATGAGGAAAAGTCAGAATTTAATCCTGATATTTCTTCCAAATCATCAGAATCAGATAAATCACAAATATCAAAATCACCAAAATTTACAACTTCACTTTCTAAGTTTGTTACAGCACTATTAGATGATTTAGAAGCTGATTTTAATAACCGTGAATTTTCAGATAAAAGATGGTCTATGCAATCATCTGCTGTAGATATAGTGCTAGAATTTTGTTGAAACTCTGCGGTAAAGGAGTTTTTTGTTTTAGAAACGTTAGTATCAGATGTATTAACTGTTGCTTTATGGATGTTGATACCATTTTTTTGACTAGTTGAGTCTATATTAAGTGCATTTTCACAGTTTTGTTCTAACGAATCAGTAGAACATCTCCTTCTTGATGAGTTTCTCTTGAATGTATTGAAGATGTCTCTGTCTGATAAAATACTAGAACTATTTCTGTTAGAGACTGAAGAGTTACTGGCTTTCTCATGTTTATCTAAGACAGAGTTAGAACCAGAATTTATATCTGACACAATGTTTCCATCTAAAATCTCCACAAGATACGACTGACAATAATTCATAAAGACTTTCTTCTCTTCACTGTTTAATTTACGTTGTTTCATCTTCTCTAATTTATGGCGTAAATCTGAAAGGAAAACGAAATTTAATGAATATGAGGCTTTTTGGCTGAAAGTTCGATAGCTCACAAGTCTTTTTCATGGTTTAACCTAATTGGCTAACTCAACTGAAAATCAATGTTAGTGGTTGACCAATCAGATGAAGAAAATCATGCAAGTTTGAAAGAATGAACAATGAACCATTTCTACCAGCTTCAATGACGAAATCTCTTGGCATCACCCTTTCCCTGGTTATTTTTACCCATTTATGACTGAGTTACATGGTTAATTGTTGAACTTAACGAAGTGGAAGATTCCTACAAATGTATAGCCTAAATACAGAGTGAATCTAAGAGAATAGAATATATCATATTGTAAAATACAGTAACCCTACCAGCTACAGTGATGACATCTAAATCTCTAGGTGTTAATTTCTGATCAAATAAAAACTTTACAATTTCATCTTCTAACTATATAATAACATAAACAATTATTGTTATATTATACCAAATAATATATTGACTAATTTTCTAACTGAAAGCGAAAATATCATCAACATTTTCAATAGGACAATTATGTCTCATTAAGCAAATACAACTCAAGGTTGTTTTCTGTCCAGCTTTAAACTGATAACCATAGAAGATGCCTGCAGTATATTCTTATTATTAAAGAATTATCAAGTCAGCACCAATCAAAAAGTGAGGAAACAGACAAAAAGGCAAGGAAAAGTTATCCTACAATATTTAGGGTGCCTACTAGTTGCTGTTGTATAGTCAATGACTATGTAGATGTTATTGTAACACAGATGTTAATTGCTCTTTAGCTTCTGTTAAACTAAATATGTGATTTAAACATTCTTCAATTGTCTCAAGCATGTTGGATCAGGTTCGATAATGTTAGACGGTGCAGACAGAAATCCACAACAAGCTTGAACATGGTCAAACAAATGTATGATGATGTTTTGAACAAATGTATGATTGTGTAGACCGGGCTTCAGGCTGCAGTGGAATACATTTCAGAATATAAACCCAAAGTTTTACCATAAGTTTAAAAAAGAAATCTCACTGCTATTCAGTGAATTTACCCACCTTCGGAGCTGATTTCTGGGCCACAGATTCTGAAAATAAACCACGTCTAGCTGTTGAGTTGTTTTCTTTACTTCTATGACTGGGACTATAAGTTCTATTGGTTGATTCAGAAGCTGCTAAAACTAATTTAGCTGTTCGTGTTAGTTCTGAACTACCATTTTCACTGGTTGATGATAATTTTAACAATTTCTCCTTTAATACTCTTTCATCTGGTTCCCTGAACAAAATCGAAACAACCACGTAATCAGACATGAGTAAAAACTGAAACACTCCATATTTGGGTGTTTTTTTTCTGTTTGGTATTCAATAATTTCATAAGTGACATACTGAATTGATATAGGGTCATTCACAAAAATAATGTTTCTCTGACAAAATATTTCTGATCAGTCCATCAACTAATATTTCAGTTTCCAATCTGGAATCAGACAGGGGAGAAGTAGAAAAGAGGTGATATAGGAAAGGTACAAAATGGACAAATTGGGAAGGGGCAAAATGGGAATAGATTTGGGATGAAACAGAGCGATATGGGAAGTGGGAATACACTAAACTATGCAAAATAGAAATTTTAAACAAGAATTCCTGTTTTAATATTTTTATCACAGAAGAGTATGAAAACTGTACCTGTCTTTTTTGGAACCAAAGAAATGTGATTTGATCATTTTAACCCGTCCATTGTCATCTAAGGGAGACAACCCCGATTTAGGTTTTTCAATATACACTGCTGCAGCTGATTTGATCTTTATAAAAGACACACCAAACTGAACATCTTTACGATAGGGTTGTCGTAAGATTAATTTGATTCGATCCCATTTCTCTCTGACTACAGTATCAATAAACTCTTCTGAAAAATATCAATATCATTACATATTCTACATGCTAGAAAATCTTCAAAAAACTATTTCAGCCTAAGTTCATATTCAGCAATATACCTTCATATTAAAATGTTGGCATATGAAGACAAAATTAACCCTCCTAAATCATTGTAAATTAGAGAAGATTCTTACCTTTAGAAAACATCCTAGTTTTGTTGATGTTTTGTTTGAGTCGACAGTCTATAGGAGACATTAAACTAGCAGTAGGACAGAGAGTCAGATATTGTTTATCTTGAGGCCAATCTGATCTTCCAACTTGTATCTCTATTGTACTACACCATATTGTACCTGCAATGTTAATATACAGTAATCCAAAACAAAGTTTGAAAGTTTGATGTAAATCTGGAAAAATCTCACAACCATCTAACAATAAAATTTGTCGTTAAAGTGAAATTTTACACAAGAAATACCATACTTTGTTTTTTTTTTGTGAAACATGAGACAGAGGCAGTAACATGTGATATCAAAAAACTGTGTCAACTCTTAGGTTTTCAAAATAAGATTCTCAATGAACCACTTTTTTATTACATTTTATACATTTTCAAATCAATTTCATGTTTTATGAAATTTTGAATGAACTGTTAATTCAATTCTTATTCTTACCAACGTCAATAAAGGCTACTTTTAAAAAATCCTCCAACTGAAAGATGGCTTCTATTTGCCCTGTTTTTTCTTTACTATTTGACAGCCATTTTTGACATCCATCACCGTTGATAAGATTCTGGACTTTATGGACCTCATCCTACAGTAAATGATAATCAACAGTGAAATCAAACATCATGAAAATTAGGGCTGCCATGATTCACCTCATCCAATAAATGAATCATGATTATTATCTCCATAAATGAAATTGTTGCCATTGGATGGGAATTTTTGGGTGACGGTGTATCAAAAAAAAAAAAAAAACATTGTCAGCTTGTTTTTCTATATTGATAAAGAAGTGAAGCAGGCAGTTGCAAGGTAACAAGTTACTATTTTTAGGAGGTGTAACAACTTCAAATCTTGGCTTAAATCTAACATGAACAAATGAGGTTTGTAAATTACAGACACCGAGATTCTAATGACCGTAATGTTACCACGCAATAACTTGTATTTGGTAAAGGAAATGGCCATGACAGCTAAATGCGAAGTTCAGTCTACTGAACTGCAGTAAGAAAATACAAATTGCAGCTGCCATCGAACTGAAATCTACCTGTGAACTGAAAGAAACAACAAATTTGATTAAAGCGGAAGCCATCTTGAATCATGGTGTCAATTGTCAAATTTGGGATCCATAATCATTAATATGGAAACGAAATCACAATAGATTAAAGTGAAGATACACCAAATAAGAAGGTTTTCTCGTCTTCAAAAGAAGACATTAATTATGAAACACATGATATTCAGTTTTATAGAAACCAAAACATACCTAAAGCTATAAACTGAAGTAAAGTATATTTTCGTTCCGAAGCTTGGTAAAGTTATGACAATTGTTTTGTCGTCTGCTAGCAATGAATGAATGAAAAAGAAAGATTGTTGAAGTTTTCAATCTCATTGCATTGATAGCCAATTTTGTTCAATTGTTTGCCTTCAACTAAAATTTTGATGAACTGTTGTTGAGGCTGATCTGCCTATTTCTAAAGCAAAATGAATCAGTTAAGAAGAAAATCATCGTTCACAGTGCCAATTAAAGATGTTTCATTATCTCAGATGTTGGAGAGAAACGAAGCAAGTCAAGAAACTGGATTTACGATTCCAGAAGCTCCTTCACAACCTTGTAAAAATTTAACTAATGAAGGAGATGTGACTTTATCGCAAATTATCGGCAAGCGACCATATCCAAAATTCACTGCACCAGTTTTGAATAAAGAGATGAATGACAAGAGTGATTATTCGGTATTTAGTCAGAAAGATCTCAGCTTATCTCAAATGTTAGCATCACCTCCAAGAAGATCTCAATCATTGAGAGGTAATTTTGCTGAAAATGAGACCTTCAAAACTCCAATGGCTCAAAATCAATCAAAGAAGATTCCAACCCCCAGTCTTTCAGAGCACAGATGGAGAGTCAAAAAACACCCAAGTTCCTGCCAGAAAACTTGTCTTTCCAACCACAGAAAAACAATTGGCCAAGACAGAATTATTCAAAACCGATTTCAGCTTCGATAATGTGCCACAAGCGCAACCTTTTATAATGAAAGAAAAACCAAAACCTCAAACAAAGACCAACTTTGATCCAAATATGTGCAGAACAGTTCACAGAGAGAATCATCAGCACAATTCTAACTTGGTATCACCAGCAAGTAGAAGACCATTATTTCAGTCTCACAAAAACCCAATGTTTGATTCGGTACCTGAGGCTCCATCAATCCATGAAGATATGTTTCAGAATGCCAATAAAAACCTTCTTTTCAGTGTCCCAAGCTATTAAAACTCAACAGAATAAACCTTGTAAGTACAGGGACTGGTTGATTTTTTGTGTCAAAATCTCACTTTTATCTATTATTCTTTTTGTCCACTTCTTGCTCCTGATGAGGTTAGGGTATCTGAAACTTGTGTGTCGATAGCATGAGGCGAACTTAAGTCTATAAGGAAGTTGGGCATTTAATCAAGTGTTCCATTATATTAAAAGATATGTACCAGTATTTTTATCTTATGCAGATGATTCACAATATCATGGTTCTGGGTCCACAACTCAAATGTAAGTATCACATGTACTATAATGTGTACATTGCATGACAGAAGCTGAAAATCTTTCACATAAATGGCTGTTTCTTAGGCAAAAAATCATGAAAATGTCAGGGCCACGTTCCACAAAAAAGCTTCTGATTAATTTAGTATTTAAATATTGTATTTCTCATTTTAAAATTCTACACAAATTCTTATCGTAAGATTTTTGTGGAACTGAATCATTAGAGTGTCAGGTTTTTAAGCTTATGAATTTCGCTAGAACTCGTTCTTTAATGCCCTGGGACCCGTGGTATTTCTCAATGTAAAATTCTACACTTACAACAAACTTATCGTTAGATATTTTGAGAAACAGGGTACTGAATATGTTAGAAACTAACGAACTCACTTGAGAACAAAATGCAGACTCCATATGTTATCCTATCCATTTAGGACATTGTTTAAAAGCCATGAAGATAGAGAGAATAAAATGAATGAAGGAATGAATAAGACACCAGCCTGTTTTAAACCTCGAAATAACGATCATGTTTATACACCTGCCTTATTACAATTACCAGGTCAGTTGGCTTTATTATTCAAACTCAGAGTCCTGTTTTATAATCAACTTTGTCGTAAGTGTGGTGTTTCCCAATGTTACAATTTCACACTTATGACAAACCCTTTTTAAGGTTTTTGTAACTGTAGACCATAAATTCAATTCCATTGATAAATGTGATCTCTACCCCTCAATGTTACTAAAGGATTACTGCTACTGGTATATCATTGTTATTGCTCGAACTTATTTTGCCATTTGGGTATAAGCTGTAGCCTCAGCTGCTATCATTAGATATCTGGTTAAATTTTTATGAATTATTGAAATTTCTAGCATGCTTACATTTGATGAAAAATAGATAATTCATCTTCTATATTTGTAGGTAATGTGGCCAAACTGAGATCAGTAGAGGAAATACGTATCCTTTGACCAAACATTATAAAGTCTTTTTGACCCTGATGATATGAAAACAGAATTTTAGCATCATAATATCAATAATAACAGCATTATAACAACATGCCAATAATTGCCTAGTAGTGAAGAGTCTAAACTTACACATTATAACAAATTAATATTCTTTAACTGATAAATATAGCTGGTGAATATCAAGATATTTTTGAATTTCCATATTTCAACATCATTCAGTCTATGGTATTTGATGATGTAGGTATTCATTCATTTATTCATTCACTCCATGGTTCTGGGTATCCATTTATTCTTGGATTGCCCGGACGTGGAGAATCTAGTCATTTTCAGGATTGGACAATAAACAGATGGGGTCATATCACAATCATGCCAGTAGTGCTTGTTAAGATCTCCAAATGCTTCCAAATGGAAACATTTAGTTACTGTCCTGACACAATTTCCTGATTGCACACTCCGTTTCAGTGAAGCAAATGGAAAAAATATTAATAAGAAATTGTTTATACCACTACACCCCATTACATAAGCATCCTTGATGGCCATTATGGTGTACAAACCCATTTTACATCCATTGCATCAGCCAATCAACCCGTCTATCCTTTCATTCATTCATTCATTCATTCTGTGTACCATTCATGCTTAGTATCATTCATTCATTTATTCATTCATTATGTGCATTGTTTATGCCTGTGTCATCCATTCATTCATTTATTCATTCATCCAATAGATATACTATACAGACAACTCTATGATTGTATCAGCACCAACTGGATCTGGTAAAACAGTGATATTTGAGATAGCCATAGTTCGTTTATTGTTTAATCTACATCTCCATCACAATGGTAAAATTATTTACAGTAAGTAGGCTTATATATTTCAATATCCCTATTTTCAATTTTATCCACAATCAAGCTGTGAATGGTAGTTCTAAAGTTCTAATGACAGAGTCCATAGCTGGTCTTTTATGTAGCTAGTTTGAATTCGTCCACAAAATGGAAAAAAATTGTAAGAACAAATATTTTTGTCTCTTAGAATCATAGAGAAATGCTAATAAAAAACATTAAAATTGTTAACTTTTGATGTTCAATCTATTGCTTGCCTTAGCAGAATTATTTATCAAAACAACAGACCATTCTTTTGAGTAGATACAAATTGTGGGTTTTTTTTCTTTCACAGTGGCCCCAATTAAGGCATTATGTTCCGAACGTTTTAATGATTGGAACGAGAAATTTGGAACTCATGGAATACGCTGTAAAGAACTGACTGGTGATACAGAATCTGACGATTTCCAGGAATTGCAGGATGCCAATCTTATTCTGACTACTCCTGTAAGTTTTCTTTTATTCAAAATAGCAGAGTTTGATTTTGTAAATTATCTTGCGGTTTTATGAATAAAACGTAAACTTGAACAAATTTCAGAATTATATAATTCATGATAGGAAAAAAATTTAATCCAAGTAAATTTTTGTTATAATGACTTCCAAAATATTTTTGAATTACTGGAATCACAGATATCAGACAAAAATCAGAATGATTTGAATAAATGTATAATTTTAGCGGCAGAGAAGAACATTATTTAGCCCTATGAATTATAACTATGATTTGGCAGACATACCAAATTTTCTAAGAGCTTATCATGCCAATTGGCAAAATTTTCTATTATTGTTTAGTTTATGTTATAATATATTTTGCAGGAAAAATGGGACAGTATGTCACGTAAATGGAAAGATAATAAAACATTGTTTCATACCATATCTTTATTTCTAGTTGATGAAGTAAGACAGCTTTACTTTTTTTATTAATTTCTTGACCATGACAATTTAAATCAGGGTGACCAAAACTCAGGAATAGTTCTAATTTTTCAAATCTATGTTCCCTTCATAATAATTCAATATACATGTAACATGATATTGAACATTTCCTTTGATGTTTTCATTGTAAAAACGAGTGTGAGGAGCCTAGCTGTGCTATAACTAGGTTTAAATCAAAGTTAAAGCACATTTTTTTTTGTCAATGTATAGAGGGCCCCACAGTTGACCTCTCTTTTGCCAAACATGATGTCAATACTAGTATAATATATAGACCATCTCTTAAGGGGAAATTGAGGTCAAATTTCACAGGTCGTTGAAAAATGTCTGATTGACAAAAAAAACTAATCAACAGCCCAGGAGTAGGGAGTAACTGAGTTGTCTGCACAGATAATTACATGTAAATACTCGTGGTAATCTGTTAAAATTGTTTTCGATGATATACATGTAGTATATCCCTTAATTTCTTACAGATCCATATATTAAATGACAGTAATCGAGGAGCGACAGTCGAGGCTGTACTCAGTAGAATGAAGACCTTGATAATCTCAGATAAAAACTCTGATAAAATTCCCATGAGATTTGTAGCTGTTTCTGCCACCATACCCAATATTCAAGATGTAAGTTGCAAGTTGATATCAAACCTGGACAGATATAACCACAGACATTAGACTGGAAAATGGTAATGGTGCAAATTGGCGCTTTTATAACTGTCTCTTATTGTATGAAGTCTTTTAGATTTACAGTCTTGCTTTCTTTCTTTTGGACATTACATACTTTTGGATCAAGCCCTAGTCTGTTATCATAATGTTTATATGCTTACGTTACTAAATTTTTACATGAAATTTACCTGGCCAATGTACCATCATTTTTGATATGTTGATATAATTATGTTGAACATTAGCAAAATCAGAATTCAGCAATATAGGAGACATATTTATCCACTGAATTAATGTGTATTTGCTGTCTTACATTATAGCTAGCTGAATGGTTAGGAAGATCTAATGTACCAGCTCTGAGTTATAAGTAAGTTAATAAATTACTTATTTAGATCACTTTTTGATATTTTGGTTTCCAAAATAAGTTTTTGGGTGTAGTAATCCTGTTAGGTGGGGACATCTTTAGGAAACTGAGCAGCTCTGGGCCCGCTGGAACTCATCATTCCTTGCCCTTACACAATTTTGATGCCTGTGCCAGTGCTTTCGAAAGTGAACTAAATCAAATTAGTTTAACTGTATTTTTTATCATACTAAATTTTCTCATAAGATTTAGTCTAGGATATTTTTCAATGAATTGAAAGAGACATTAAATAATAGACACCCTTGAAATAAGCAACATCTCCTCTGGTGGTCTCCCCCTGATACTGACAATTCTTACTTTTAGACTAGAAGAGAAATATCGTCCAGTAAAACTACAGAAGATAGTGTTGGGATACCATCATAAAGAGGGAGAATCAGAGTTTAAATTTGATATTAATCTGAATTATAAATTGAAGAATATTATAGATACCTATTCTAATGGCAGACCTACATTAGTGGTTAGTATTTATTAATTATTATCTTTCAGTACTAGTTATTCAAGACTCAAAATAAAGAGACCAGGGCCAGTTTTATTATACGCCTAAATCTCTCTTTTTGGACGTATATTGTTGGCACCCCTGTCCATCCGTCAACATTTGCTTGTAAACGCTCTAAAAACTAGATTTTTTGATGAAATCAAATGAAATTCGATATGTGTATACATATTCATAAAACGAAGATCAAGTTCGAATTTGAGCTGTTTTTGACCGTTAGAAGCAGAGTTATAGCCCTTGTCCCAAAATCTTGAATATTTACCATCTGCATGTCGTGGTGGGCGTATATGGCTGTGGTCCACTATCTTTTACGAATTGAGCTGTATTTCTTCTGAATTTTGGATTTTGTGAAACAGGAAAAATCTATTTGCACTCGTGAGTCATTGACATAAGAGCTGATTGTTGATTAAGGGGTCATTAGGGTTTTTTTGGAGGTCGAAATTTTTGCTCATACACCAGAAACTAGAGTTGAAGGTCTAGATAGTTTCAATATCTGTTTATTTTACCCAAAAGATAGTGGATTGCTCCTGTTTACAGAATCCCAGACTTCCTCTTTTTAGATAAAATAAAACCTTTAAAATTTAGTTTTAGGAAGGAAAAGATTTCTGTATATGAAATGACTTCCAAAGCATCTTAAAATGGTTAAATCTCCCCCTATACCTCACATGAGAGTCTGTGGCCCTCTTTACCTTCAGCTGATATTATCCATTTCCTCTATTTTTTTCGTTCCTCACTGGGATCCCGGTGTTTACATGTTAATGTTTTGGATGGAACCTGGAACTCCAAAACAAAAAGTATCTTTGATTGACTATAGTATTATATACCAGTAATTGTTTTGTATAGTTTTGTTCGTCAAGAAAGATGGTGAACCAGTCAGCTGATGTTTTAATCAAACAGAATCACAATCGTTCATACGCTCGGCGAGAGGATAAAGATTTATTAAAACAAGAATCACTCAAACTACGAGATTCAAAAGTATCAGGTAAGCTCCTGTTCAGTGAGTATTTTACTTTGCTCCAAATCCAAATTTTGAAAAATTAGACTCCATGCCCAAAGCTAGCTACTCTTATGAATGTTTCCAAAACACATGTGTCAGCAGCATGAGACGAGCTCTAGCCAATGTAAGTTTTCTTTATTTCAAACTTAGCTGCTCTGATAAATGTTTTCAAAACACATCAGCAACAGATAAGCTCTATGCCAAAGTCCATATTTGTAAAGTTCAAAGTCCATTTCGAGAGCTAGCTGCTCTGATGAAGAAAAAAACACATGCCAACAGTATGATAGGGGTTTACTGAATTTGTCTTCATGAATGACAGAGTTATAACTAAACATACATTTCCATGCCTAGCTGGGTAACATTCATCTCAAGTTAACTGAAAAAAACAAACTAGGTCGTTGTTAGAAACCTTACTGGTTAGTTGGTTAGTAGATGATAACGTTCCTACTGGTTAGTTGGTTAGTAGATGATAACGTTCCTACTGGTTGTTGTTTGAAACCTAGCTGTTCTTATGAGGATTTTTATATTAAACATATGGTAGCATAAGATGAGATCTTTATTATAGACTTTGTATCATGTGGTGTTGGTGTACATCATGCTGGTATGGACTGTCAAGATCGTCATTCTATAGAAGAATTATTCAGACAGGGTGTACTTCCTATCTTAGGTTTGTCAATTACTTTGTGCTTTTTCCCATGAAGGCAGGACCCTAGCCAGACTTGAGGTTTGGAGGGCCAAGTAATATATCCTGAGTTGCAATATGGTGTACAGTGTTTAATTGCAGTAATGGAATTGGCCTGAGGTATAGATGTAATAGCTTACCATTGTGACGATGATGAGGTTATTTTTGGTAATTTTATTTCAGTGGCCACATCTACTCTAGCAATGGGTGTAAATCTTCCAGCACATCTTGTTATATTAAAATCAACCACGTTTTATAATATGGGTTGTCCTACAGAGTATCCTGATACCCAGATCTTACAGATGATTGGTCGAGCTGGACGACCACAGGTTAGAGTAAATTTTGTATATTGAGACAAAGTCACAGAAAAAAAATACTTCAGCAGGCTATAAATAGCTATGGAAAATATAATAGTTACTATATAACGTAATAATAATTACACTTGTATACAACATTTACTTCCCTTGACGAACTAAAGGGAGATAATTACAGTATAAACTACACTTTTCAATGTATTTGTGCACATCTGGTAAAAATAAGACAAAAGAGGAGCTGATTTTTTACATGCAAATATATATAAATTAAGCTATCTAACATTAAAGTACACTTCCAATTTACTATATCTGCACAAGCTGCCAATTTCAAAAGATAAACACTGTAGATTAATTAGATATATAAACTGTACAACTTGTACAACTTGTGATCAAGTTAGATGATTATGATGTGAATTGTGTTTTTCAGTTTGATTCTACAGCCACAGCGGTTATTATGACTAAAACATCTTCCAAGTCTAAATATGAATCAGTTGTTAATGGTACTCAGACTATTGAAAGCAGGTACACAGTTAGTTATTTAATTATTTAACCCTCATATGGACAGTCAGTTTGATTAAAATCCAAATCTGTATGTTTTGTTATCTGTTTTTATGTGGAGATTTTACTTGCCCTGTTTGGTACAGGCTGTTTAAGTTACAAATGGAAAAAGAGTAGGTTTATGCTACTATCCTGGAAATATTTCCCCTTTCAACACTGCATGGCATGGCCCGTTCAACCCAATTAGGGGCAGATCAGTTGGACATTCAATTCATTTCATTAGATGTTGATATAAATAATGTGTATACCACATCAATTCCATACTATTTCAGCTTACATAAGAATTTAATAGAACATCTGAATGCTGAGATAGTTCTACATACTATAACTGATATGGGACTAGCTGTAGAATGGATAAGACATACATTTCTTTACGTTAGAATCATGAAAAACCCCAGCCATTATGGTAAGCAAGATGTTTTTGATAAAAGAAAACTGTTTCATTAAGACTATTGAAGATATCCAGCTTAATTTTGAAGCATAATAGCTGAAAACGTCTCTTTCTATGTTCCTTTAATGATATGTAATTATCTCCCTTTAGTGTGTCAAGGGAAGTAACTGTTATGATATAATCATCTCCCTTTAGTGTGTCAAGGGAAGTAACTGTTGTATGGTAAAATTATCTCCCTTTAGTGTGTCAAGGGAAGTAACTGTTGTATGGTAAAATTATCTCCCTTTAGTGTGTCAAGGGAAGTAACTGTTGTATGATAAAATTATCTCCCTTTAGTGTGTCAAGGGAAGTAACTGTTGTATGATATAATTATCTCCCTTTAGTGTGTCAAGGGAAATAACTGTTGTATGGTATGATTATCTCCCTTTAGTGTGTCAAGGGAGGTAAGTGCTGTACATATAATGTGACAAGGAAAGTAACTGCAGTGTATCATAATTTCAGGTGTACCTGAAGGGTTAGATAGAAAACAGGTAGAAAAACAACTTGAAGGTCAGTTTGGATTTATTGTTAATTTTTATTATATTCTGACTCTTGCAAGTCAATGTATAACTAATTCAGATGACAGTTATGTTCATGTGCCTTGAAAAAAGTCAATGATCACATATTGGATCTGAGTTTTTGTCACATGACCGATTATGATTTAATGATAATTGATATGATTTATGTAATATTGTTGCTATGTTATAGAGTTATGTTTAAAAAGTATCAACTCACTGGCAGCATTAAACCTTGTGAAACTGAATGAAGAAACACTAGAAATAGAATCTACAGGTAACACATCCGACTTTAAATAGATTCAGTCAAGATGTTTTGTAAACTTTTATGTTTATTGGAGATACTGAAAGCATTGATTTGTCATTACAGCAAAAGCAACTAATCATATCTAAGAACCTTTTCTATAGTGATGTCATAATACACTTATTTTAAATTAAATTACAAATACAACAGACTGAAAATTGGAATGTTGCAATGATTTCTTTTACTGCAAATCAATACACAGAAGTTAAGAAAACCTCTTTACAATCCCTTTAAATCCATCATGTCTTTTATTCTATATTACTGTAGAGACTGGTCGACTAATGGCGAGATATTGTATAGCCTTCGACACCATGACTAAATTCCATGATATAAAGGGAGACGAGAATATTGAACAATTGGTAAGTAACTGTAACTCTATTAGGAACATAAATTTTTATAGTTCTTTGAAAAACTTAAATACATATCTGTTGGGGGCAAACTTTGAGTATTGTCACAGGCATGTCTGAAGGGAGGTAATGAGGTAGATTCCTATTGAACTAAAGATCTAGATAACTTCTTTCTAGAGGTGTTGGTCTGCATTTTATTCAAATAGATATCTGAACAATTAAGGTCAGCTTAAACGAAAAAGTCATTTGGTAAAATTTGTTTCTGAAAGATGCTATTTGTGGCTGAAAATGTTTATCTTTTCAATGTCTTGAATTATTTACAATAATTATTGTATATTGATAAACTTTACAAGAATTGAATAGTTTTTAAACATTTTAGTTAACCATTACGACCACCTGTCAAGAATTTCAAGATGTAACATTACGACAAACAGAAAAAACAGCATTGAATCAGTTGAATAAAGATAAACAAAAGGAATGTATCAGGTTGGTTTTCAGATCAACTGTATATATAAGTATATCACAGATAGGTGCATCATAATGAGTATGATTGAGGAAGTCATGAAAATAAATAGTTAAAAAAAAAATATATGCAAAATCTTAATTATATACATGTACTAGCTATATAGAAATACTAAATTGCAGAAACTGATAGTAACTGACATATGTATTCCTTTATGCACTATCAATAACATAGATCTATATTGAATTTTGTGGTCTGAATTCAGAATAAGACCAATAAATATGGGGATAAGCAAAGAAATATATCAAAAGCCCTGGACTGGTGATTAATACACCTTCGAATGGCCTAGATTCACTCTCATAAGAGGTCATCTCATGGAGCTCCAAAGAGTAGTTCTCTTTTTATGCATTTTACACAACATAATAAATTCTCATGAGGACAGCAAGGAATTAAGAGCCTAATATTGAATACTCACCCTTCCAGAGCACCTTAGTTAATTTTGCTTATTTCCAGGTATCCTATGCAGGGCAAGATTAAGAATAAACAGATGAAAGTAAATTGGTAAGTTTCAACGTTTTATTTTGATATTTTTATTGAAAACTGTTTGTGTTAATTTTAATTATTTATTGATGTAGATGACAAACATACAAGACGATATATAAAAACCCTGGTAACATATAGATGAATAAGCAGCTATTCTCCCAAGTCTTGTTTGCTTTCAATCTCTTTCTGTTTCCAACTACCTGGAGCCTTATTAATGGCAATCACTCTCATATGAAAAAGGTTGCTTTTTTTGGCTAATATTCACCACTCCATATGGAGCTATTCAGATGAAGAGAGCCACTGTTAGACTTATTAATTAGTAGTGGGTGTTGGGGTAGTTTTAACGATAATGACATTTTTTGACAAGAGTATATCTAATACTATCAATACATGTTGTCATATGGAATTCAAACTGAAGAGAGGTTTCAGTAAATAAAGTTCAAATAATTGAATATATGTATATGAAATAAAGTGATATTATATTTATGTAAATATTTTTTAGCCTTGTACAAGCATCGTTTGGTTGTCTACCAATACACGACTATTCTTTGACTAATGATGTCACTAAAATATTCAGAGTGGGACAAAGAGTTGTTAAATGTAAGTAGGCCTGTCTACATGTGACTACAAGAAGCCAGTATGGATCATCCATGTGAGAATGCATTCCCTTCCTTATAAGTGGAATTCCTTAGTAGCACAGTTCTGGACAGATGACATCAAAATATTTTGACTGATTTTGTGACAATGTTGATTAAAATTTTGAAATTTATTTTTTCAATTAATTAAAATGGTGTAAATAGAAGCTAAAAGTGTCCCTGATACACAACCAAAGGCTAGCAAACCTCTTCAATCCCTTTTAGCTATTGAAATGTTTCTAGGTTTGTTTGAGTTTCTGTGGCAGAGGAAGGAATATAAAGCTCTAGTTTCAGCCATTCAGTTGTCTAAATGTTTTAAACAGAGATTATGGGAAGATTCTAAATATGTCACAAAACAACTAGAAAAGATAGGTAAGTTGAATCTAACATAACCCTTTCACAAGTTGTTAACCTGAATTCACTAAATGAAATGAAATGTTTTAAAATGGGTGGTGATTAACACTGGATAGAGCCAGGTTGTAGTACTCCAGAGTTTTCAAACCAGTGTCGTATTTAGAAGGTGGGCCATTTGGTCATGCCCCCTCAGGAAAGGTCTGTTTTTGAAGTGAATATCTAAATGCTCAAAATTCATCTCAGGTCATCTGAGATCTATTGGCTTTTGGGGGGCCCGAAAGGGGCTTCGGTGAAAGACACCTCATTTTTGGCCCCCTGTAGGCATCTTCCAGACAGCCCCTGATAGTAAAAAAATATTTAGTCATTCCAACAGGACAGTAAGTCAAGCACAATGATCACATCAATGTTACTTCTGCAACAGACTGCTGTTCCATACTTCAGATAGCTAACAGTCTCCTCTTAAGGAGTCCAAAAGTAGGATGTAAAACTCCATTCATTTTACTTCTTCTTTATCTGCACTGGTGTAGTTGTCTGTACAACTATTCTGACCTAAACCTATTTTTATTTCACTTTCCTCAATCTGTGATTCTCTGACTATAACCTATTTGTTCTAGGGACGACTATATCTCTGGCACTAGCTACAGCAGGTCTCACTACCTTCCATAAGCTCAGTCAGACTAATCCACGAGAAATAGAACTTGTATGGACAACTCTTCATTTTTGTATTTTATCAGTTTAAATTTGTTAATTTTTGTCACAAGTTTGAATTATATATTATTTTTATCATTTTAAATTGAAATGCATGTGATTTTTTGTTTACTTTTCTTTATCGATTTTCAAGATCTCCAATTGATTTTTCCAGCACAGTATTTTACCTCTTTTTTTTTCGTTTTTCTTATAACATGTATTTATCAATAGTGTTAACCAAATAAAAATCATCTCAAAAGAAGTTACTCATTTTACAACTGATCAAATGTCATCGATTAGTCAGGAAGGGTGAGCCTGCCATGACTTTCTATAATCATAGTAATTATTATAGAAGAGTCTGTGATATTTCTATTTATATATTATAGATAGCCAATCGTCATCCACCATTTGGTAACCAAGTGAAAGAGGCTGTTGCTAGTTTACCTAAATACCAGTTGGCTATTGAACAGGTAATACAACAATAAAACATATAATACTGCCAAATTTAGTCTCATATTAAAATTGTCAAATTGTCCAACCTTAACCTTTTAGAGATTGTGACTAGGTTTTTTTAAATTTTGTGTATGTAACCTATTGAGGACACTGATAACATCAACTTGCAGTACTTGCACCATTCTAATTTTCAATCTCAAGCCGTTGCAATTTCACAAAAACTAGGCTTATATTAGAAGCTTTTAGAAAACCCTCTTTGCATGGCTTGTTCTCAAGAATTTTTGAAAATTCCATAATATTAGTGGTGTTTATTTCATGAGAGGCTTGCAACTATGAAGTTTGTACAGAGTTGACACATTTTGAATTCTGCCTCGACAGTTGGCCCCCTCATTAAGTCAGTCTGCACCCTATTATATCCCCAGTCTCAGGAGCCTAGCTCCACCACTGACTATAAACTGCTCAATATATACCTAAATCTTGACATGTTGGTAATTATTCCAGATAAAGAATTATAAAAACTCTACAGCTGAGTTGATTATTTCTATCAATCTGATGAATCGAGATGTTTTATTATTAAAACCGAAAAGTTATCATCAAGCTTATTTTATAATCGGGGATACAGACAACAATATAGTCTTTAAATGGAGAGTTATGTAAGTTATCTACCCTTGGCTGTATTTATTCATCTTTTCTGTGATATGTGCAGGGTGAAAGATAAAAAATATAAATAGGACAAGCAGGAAAATCTAAGAATTTTGATGAACTATATGAAAACTATAAATACTATTTTCAACATAAACCTCTTAAATTATAACCAATGTTCTCTAGATTTTTTTGAGAAACACGACCCTCATGCCATTGTTGATAATTGATATCATGGTATTTGTATTATAGAGATTCTATGTTATTAAAAGATAATGGATGGAGAAGAAAGATAGAGGTTCAACAATGTTCCAGTGGTTGTAATCTCTATGTTCATCTTCTCAGTCAGGACTGGGGTAAGACTGATATTGAATTGGGCAAAGCGTTTAAAAGGCCAAAATTGCACCACATTCTTTTTATATCTATTTAAAAAGAGAAATTTTATTATGTGTATTTATTGTGATCCTTCTATTTCTCTCTGTGTATAGAGGACACAGATTCCAGTTTTCAGTTAGATGTCTTTTTTTGCTCTAGTTTTGCTAAACTGGATGTTTTATGATGTTACCATCTCAAAGGTCCTTTTATATTATTAGCAGCTTCTGTGACAGCAATGTCATAAATCGTTAAGTTAAAGTAGAATTACAAGACCAGCAATTGTCTGATTGTAAAATGAAAGTTTAGAAAACCTTTTTACAATTTTTACAAATTTAAAATTGATTCAAGTGATTGACCAATCATATGAAAACAAATCAACTTGAGTTAAAACTGGCCCAAGAGCTGAAGCTTATTGGCTTTTCTTACTTAATTTCAAAATCACCTGTCCTGATGAGGATTCTATATCCAAAGCATGTATAGATAGTAAGTTATGTCAATGAAGAGTATGAATGTATATATTATAGTTGGTGTTGATATACACACAGTATATGTTCCTGTATATTTAAATGATACACAGTACAGTTCAACCCAGCCCAGAGTGAGTTTACCTTTATAATGTTTACTTATCCATAGACTATAAACTCAGACAGATTTTCAGAAAAGTTTTCATCAATGAAATTTATAAAACAAGGACTTAATTATCAAATTGAATCAAATATACCTATAACATTGATCAGTTAGAGACCAGTTCTAGTTAAATTCTCTGTAATTATCCATCTTTACAATATCAAACTACGAATTTGACTTATACCTTGACTGTAATAGCCACCTTTAGCGTGTCACAAAAGTTTGTAAATGCAGCAACTTGTTCGGATTGCACGCAGTAATATATGTCTTTTCTATATATTTGAATTTATTTTACATACTTTTCATTCAATGAACTATATTTATTTTCAGGAGGGACCCAGAAAGACTTCAGAAATCACACATTCTGATACTGCTCTAGTAGTTTGTGCTCACAAGTGTGTCAATAAGATGCATTGTGGACATAAATGCTGTAAAGATGGGGTAGCCAATAAACGTCCGGCTAGAGCACCGAAAACACCATCTCAAACTAAAGATAGGCATGGTGAAAGAGGTCTTGATGCTCAGATTAAGAATTTACAGAATCGAGCTCAAGATTTTCCTTCAGCTCCCCCTGATATAAAACGACCTAGGGTAAGAGTGATGGTGATATATCACATTTTATTATCAAATAGGTTTAGAAATACCAAATAAACAATATAAGCCATGTTGAGTTTCTGAGAGGGATGATGAGTTGACAAACCTAAATACCAAATAAAATAACTATTGGTAGTAATCTGTACCCTAAGACAGTGCTTCTCAACACAGGAGGAATTGGAAGACCGTGGGGGAAATTTTTGCCAGGTGGGGAAATGGGAAGGAACCCTTCAACTTGGGAGTAAATGGCAGGCAAGGTGATCTAATAATTCACATGAAATTGACTTCATTTGGCCTGAACCTCTAGAAAACTATCTCAATATGAATATGTAGAGAATGATTTTATATTTCTTCAAGGTTAATTGTTGAAAAAAAGTAACTATTATTGGGAAATTTTTTTCTCAATTTTTATTACAGTTAAACACCTCTATACATGCTCCACCAACTCATAACTTAAATCTGACCAGATTTGCCTATGATAAAAGTAGAGGAACCCTGTCTTGGGAGAACACTACACCTTGGGTAGAAGAATATGATGATATAGAAGGGAATATTGAAGTTGAAGATGGCTGGGAAAGACTAAACCAACATCAACAACAACAACAACAAGTTAGACAGCAGCAACATTTTAATCAAGGTATAGTCCAGTTAAGATATTTGTGCCAGGGGGATACAGGAGGGTATTTATCACCCTAGAAATATAGTTTGTACCCCCAATCGTACCCTATTTCATTTCTACGAAATTTCAAAATGTGACTTTTATACGTTTTTGCCCCAAATATATGTGTCAGAATGCACCAAATCAATTCTTGTTTTGTTTTTTTCTACTGAACAAGTCAAGTCACTGATACATTATTATAACTAAGGTAAGTCTGTTTTTCAAAATTGTGATAATTTCTATTGAAGGTAATTTTAATCTGGAGTTATCTCCCGTAGTTGAAGAAGATGGTATTAGCTATAGTCCGTTAGATAACATATCAATCTGTAGTATAGAGGACTTCAACAACCCACCAGAAAAACGTCACCCAGCTACGACAATTAACGATGATATGATCACCTACTGGGATCCAGGTTTCTCAAGGTTCGTACCTAGAATATGTCAAACTGATATAAACCATGTCTAATACCATGACATTATTTGACACTCTTAAGGAAGTAAATACATCGAATTAAATTGGATTGCAAGCTATCAAATACAGCCAATCAGAGCCTTTACCAGAAACATTGTAATTGATAAGGCATGCGAATGTAACTACTAGTTCTCATGGACTTGATTAATATTCCATACAAATTCTAACAAGGCATGTGATTGGCTATAAATTCAATTCTCATTTTTGTCATCATTGGTGTCATCTTGGCAGTCAAGTAAAATTTGAATTTCAGTGATGATGATGTTGTTGAGATGATAAATGATACAGTTCAGAAGAATTCTATCATAATTGGAAAAGCACCGCAAGATGATCCTGAAGACAGTTGGAAGAAAGACACTCGTTTTGAAATGGGGATGTCAAATTCTGCAATCAAAAATGATAGCTGCCATCAACAGGTTAATTTCGGAAGAAAAGATAGTCTCGATCATAATGCACTCTCTTATTCTGATGTTAAAGCAAATTATCAGAGAACCAATCAGAATTCTAGTAAATTTGATATAAACAATCATTATAGTAATTTAGATTCGGACAGTGATGGTGAAACCATGGAAACGATAAGCTATGAGACAGATAATCTTCCGTCCGTGAAGTTTGCTGGAAGAAGGGGACATAATTCAATAGAACCTTCAAACAACAGAAATATGCATAATTTAACCAATCAAATCAATTCATCAACTAACTCTTCCGATTGGTTTAAACTATCTAATCAAAGATATGAAGTTTCTGATGACGAGTTTGAAAATGATGTTAATGAAATGACAAATTTGAATTCAAATATTGACAAGCAGACGTCAGATTTAAAACATTGTTACACATCATTTGAAAGTGACGACATCCTAGATGAAGATTTCAATAAAACAGCCAATCAGGAAACATCGAATTCTGATTTCAGAAACAAAATCAGTCACAAAATGAACGAATTAAAAAATTCACACCGTTTATTTACTGTAAATGGTCATCAAAATTCAGATGTTGATGAATCGAGAAGAGATTTTGAAGATTTACGAAAAGAAATTTTACAAAAAAAGAAAGGAGTTGTGATGGATAATGAAAAATATTCGCAAGTTATTCCCCCTGTTTCTGAATCTCCTGCCTCAAAATGCACGAGTAGACATTTTACTGGTACATCAGAACTTGAGATGTCACGTCCAACGATTGGGCACAGAAATGTTAATAATTCAGTTCATGCTCCCCATGGGATCTCCTCACAGGCACTGACAGAGGCATGTAAAATAAACAATGTTGGAAAATACCAAACTGACAACAGCAATAGCAGACTGAATGAATTTGAGATGGGCAGAAACTTTGCAAATGATGACAATAAGTTTGGTGCTATACATTACCAAGTCGCAAAATGTCTCTCACGGAACAATCTGGATGATGTCATAAACGCTTCTCCCGAAAGCTTTGAAGATAGACCATACCTTACAGGACCAAAAAGTGAAAAGGACCTTGTTTATCAAGATAGCCAAAAGGATGTCTCTAATATGCAATCCAGAATAAATATAAAAAATGAACAAAGACTTTCAAATGAACAAGTGTACAAAAAACCTCAAAAAGATCAAATTGAAAATGTTACAGGAAGACCAGTTCCAATTTTCAAAAAAGGTCCACATCATATTCAGCATTCTGATTCAAATAAAGAAAAAATGAAACCCAAATTTAATCTGAAGTCAGTAAATTATACCTATTCTTCTGATGATACTAAACAAATGTCTTCAAACCCACTGGGTAATCAAGACAGATTTTGGAATCGTCCAGAACTCAGTCTTGAAGACGTAAGCCAAAATACTCAACGATTTCCAGACAAAGAAGGAACAAATAGTGACGCCAATCAAAAGAGAAACCATGTTGATGTCCAACACAACTTCAAGCAGTTTTCTGATGGATCATATAAGCTTAATGATCCAAAAGGACACATGCCAACAAATATTCAGGGAGAAAAATTTCTGCAATATCAAGACAGATATCTAACAAGGGAAGGTTGTATGGAAAATGGTAAACATACATTTAATCCATCACAAGTGAGTTATGGATCACAAATTCAAACTCCTTACCATCAAAGGGAGGCAACCGAGGATTCTAATAATGAAAAATGTCTTGAAATGAATCGACTAAATGGAAACTATCCAGATGGCCACCACTACTCACAGTTGAAATCCTTGGCCAATCAGAAACCAGAATCAGTAAATGATTTTGACAGTCCACCGCGGAATAAAGAACATAGATATGGTCAGGTAAGTGAAATGTTCAGAAATGTCTTTCCCATCCTTCTTCCAACTCTCGAAAGCACCGACCATGCCATCAGAATTTCTTGCTGTTTTCAGTGGGGGCCCCCCCCCCCCCCCCCTCGCAGCCCCGAAAGCAAGTTTTTCGGGCAAAAATCTCATAATTAGGTTAGAAATTTTGTAACCTCCCCTCGGATGTAAACCTGGCTTCGCCACTTGCTGTTTTCTTGACTATGTCACCATATTAAAATACAGACCTGCATGTTTCTTCAGGTTTTTGATCTACATCCATGATCGGTAAGGTTCTGGCTTTGTGGAATTTCTACCCAATAGCATCAAAAGTGGTCATAATTTATGCTAGGGATTAAAGAGATCTCTAACAATTGACAGATCATGGGTGGCACTCGCAAAACAGTAGACATCTAGCTGTCAACTTGACTGACAGGACAATTTCCTGCTTGCATTTTCAATTTTATATCATTCATTCTTCAAATTTGGTCAATAGATTTCATTTTTGTTAGGTTCTAGCTTGGGTACCAGAGGATTGTACTTCCCCAAGACCTACAACATTACCACTAAAATCACCTGTACCCCCACCATATTTATCTCAATCACCCCCTGTTAATACAACTAGGTAAGTCACTTTTCACATTGACATTTCTTCATGAACTCTTCAAGTTTATTGTTTTCCAACTTGATTTGAAAATGTTACAGAAAAAAGAATTTGTCTGTAATTAAAAACTGACAATATTCAATTCATTATCATAGTTTATTGCATCTTTACAATATCAAACTATAAAGAACCTTGTCTTAATACCTTTTGACTGTAATAGCCACCTTTTTTGTATCATGAAAGTTTGAAAATAATTACATTTGCTTACAAATTGATGAGGGCTCTGATTGGCTTTAATCGGTTTGGCTCTGATTGGCTTTTTCTGAAGTGTACAATCCAATCAAATTGCTGCATTCTGTGATGCCAGAAAGGTGACTATTGCAGTCAAGGTATTAGATACAGTTGCATAGTAGCTTGAAGATGGATTTTATGATAGTTTTTAATAGTTTTGTACATGGTTAGAAACTGGTAGTGTTGTTCATTAATTATGTTTATTATTTAAGAGAGAAGTATATAGAAGATTATAAAGAGCCGGTATCAGAAAAACAGTTCGGTTTATCTCATTTCTTCTGTCCAGTTGTCAAGTAAGTCATCACAATATTATACTGTGATTATTTAAAGGGATGTCATTTATAACATGATATCAGGAATTTCCTTTGATCTTTTCATTGTATAAACAAGTGGGAGGAGCCTAGCTGTGCTATAACTAGTTTTAAATCTAAGTTGTAGCACATAGTTTGCGATATCAGCATCTGCTGGAAGCGAACATTGACTTGTCATCTACCATCAACTACCTAGTCTGTGATATCAGCATCCGCTGGAAGCGAACATTAACTTGTCATCTACCAACAACTACCTAGTCTGTGATATCAGTTAGCTGAAAGCAGATGTTAACTTGTCATCTACCAACAACTACCTAGTCTGTGATATCAGTTAACTGGAAGTGCACGTTAACTTGTCATCTACCAACAACTATCTAGTCTGTGATATCAGTATCCACTGGAAGCGAACATTAACTTGTCATCTACCAACAACTATCTAGTCTGTGATATCACAATCCGCTGGAAGCGAACATTAACTTGTCATCTACCATCAACTACCTAGTCTGTGATATCAGCATCCGCTGGAAGCGAACGTTAACTTGTCATCTACCAACAACTACCTAGTCTGTGATATCAGCATCCGCTGGAAGCGAACGTTAACTTGTCATCTACCAACCAACCAAGTTGTAGCACGATTTCCTCTGTTAATGTATAGAGAGAGTGAATGCCTGGACTTGTCTGCACAGATACAACAAGCAACTCAGACCTTCTTCAATCATGTTATTAGTAATTTATATCAAGTTTTCCTTTAAGGCCATGATTTGGGGTCTTGAATATAAATAGTTTTCAGAAGTACTAAAACTGCATGAAAATCGCATAATCCCTTCTAATATACCTCAAACTACAAATTTCAGTTTCTAATTATATAGAAATAGAAAGTCAAATTCCCAGTTTGAGGTATTTTTGTCCCTTTAACTTCTAAAACTGTTTCTAGGATATCCTAGTGCTAAGAGAATAGTTTTGAGAATTTGTAACAATGCCTCATTTTTTTGTGTAAATAATTTCAGGAATCAAGAAGTTTGTCAGGAAGAGGATAATTTTAACAGTTTATTTGATGGCATATTTTAATCTACAAAAATCATCCATTTACTACTTTACTACAGAGGAATCATTATCTTTATGAGCAAGAAATTTCGTGGATTTGCCTTCAGTTCATGTTAAAACATGAAATGCTTGGCACCTTTATTCTGTGATACTTTTTAGCTAAACTAGTTCCATAGCAATAATAATAATATACAAGTTTTACTAGTATTGTGAAAACATTCATCCCTCTATATTTTTGTAGAGACATGAATTACTTGGATTAGCAGACATTTATTCTGTGATATGATAATGTTCACTGAAACTAGTTCTATAAGAAAATGTAGATTATATTTTCATTTTGAAAGAAAATTGTCTGTTCCCGAAGGCAAATTGATGAGGATGTAATTTTGAAATATTCGAGGCATTTTTTTCATCAAAGTATTTTTTTTTGTACATTATCCAACTTTTTCATATTATTACAATGTGATATTATTGTTTTTTTGTACTAATTAGCAGGACTAATTAATTGGTTATATTTGTTTTTTTTTTTTTATTGTATTTAAACCCACAATTTCCGTTAAATTATTCTTGTTTCAATAAAATGAAAAGTGTAATATAATTTTCATTTGAAAAGTTATCTTCTAGTTATGACTGACCAAACTTGAACACTTGAAAGAACAACCTATGTTTACTACTGGTAAGTATAAAAAAATCAGTAACAGAGACTTCCTTTTAAATGGTTTATTATAATGAAGATAATAATCAGAGGACATAGGTAATATTTATACGATAATTTACGTTTGATTAAATCTCAAAATCAAAATCAAAATAATTCGGATCAAAATAGTGAACTCTAATAAACCCATCTTCTGCTCCACTGGCGTAACTGAAATAAACATCAAAATATTTAAATACAGATCTGACACGATTCAAACTAAATACTACATGAAATTATCCCCCTTTTATTTATTATGCAATATGTTATCACTAATTGATTAATATCTAATCAAGCTCTAATTGGCCAAGTATCCAATGAAAATTTACAAATAAAGTGGTAGAATTAAACTTTGGAGCATCAACATCAGCTGATGGTCAGATGGAAAATAACTTTTGGAATTATCTCCCTTTAATGTGTCAAGGAAGTAACTGTTGTATGATATAATTATCTCCCTTTAATGTGTCAAGGGAAGTAAGTGTAGTTTATCTCCCTTTAGTGTGCCAAGGGAGATAACTAATGTCTACTGCAATTATCTCCCTTTAGTGTGTCAAGGGGGAAACTGTAGTATACTGTATTATCTCTCCTTGGTGTGTTAAAAAGTAATCTTCCCATCAAGATCCAATATTATGTCATACAATGACAGTTTTGAGGTGTGAAAAAATATAATCCTACCTTTTTCCATCAGGATGAAAAACAACAGTATTGATTGGTCCAAAATGACCTTTAACCCTAGCAAATTCCTCCTCAAACACTAATGAAAAGAATCGAGCATCAAATTTACCAATTCTGGTTGAAGTTGTGGTTACTTCCATAGCTTCTTGTCCTCCCCCTAACACAACCTGTAATCAAGTCAAATGGAGTTTTACATCTGTATTTTGTTAAGCTAATGAAACAATGAATTGGAATAAATGTCTCACTTCTCTTTAACTTATCGGGCGAGTGGATGACAGGCAACACTATGCAGTGTGCAATGAGCGAAATTTTGCTTTGACAACAACATCTGCATGTTCGTTTTTGCGAGAGTTCTTCAATCAGGACAGCCTATATCCCACACAAGGTGAAGCTGTGAGCCATTATCCTACAGTTCAAAGATGGTCTTGGAAGGACAATCAAGAAAATTTGTCTTTCATTATTTTTATAAATCCTGATATGGAAAGTCCTACAGTACAACAGAAAACTACTTACATGATCTCTGATAGGTGAAATAGAGGCTGAGTTGACGTTACGTTCTGTTTTATATGTTTTTAAATGATCTAGAGTACTCGTATCAAATAACTACAATAAAAAAGATTGAAAATCAAACAGTGTTATCTCCCTTGGCATTATACATTGAAAGTGCTACCTCATAAAATTTGTAGGTACAAGAAAGGTGGCTATTGCAGACAAGGTATACGTATGAAGCTTGTAATAGATTGACACAGATTACAGCCTAGTAGCTAAGTATTTTTTACTTGACCTTTAAATAAAACTTACTTTAGCTGTGCTGTCTTTAGATGCTGAGACTATCATGGTTAAATCTTTAGAACCTTGAAGATCATTTATCTGTTTACTGTGTTCTTTAATTTCTAACACTTGTTCTCCAGTCTATTAACATAATAGGAGAATATTACATTTGTGAACACTCTTAATACAAAGTGAAAAGATATGTAAATTGTGTTGAAACATTACATACTTTGTTTCTAAAGAAGTTGTACTATAATATATTCCCTTTTGATTTGTGTTATATGTGAACATCCTTATCAGCTATGTGAACACTCAGAAATGGATTACCACAAATAATTAGCTGTGAGAAATGCAGAGGTGTCAAGGTAAGAATTGCTAGCTGTGCAGACTCTCCAAAAGGGATGCCAGATAGACAAACCCAGATACATAATAAACATGATTAGTTTTGTGAACTCTCTAAAGGGATTGCTGAGTTGACAAACCAATATTAACATATTAGCCATATGGACTCTCTGAAAGTAATTCAAATCTATTTGCCTAACAAACATTATTAGCTATGTGGACTCTCAGAAGGGACCCCTATTGACAAATATAGATACAAAATAAAAAAGATTAGCTAAATAATGCATGGAGTTGATAAACCAAAATACCTAATCAAAATCATTACCTATGTGGACTCTCTGAAAAGGATAAGAAATTGACAATGTTGACTCACCTTTGTGTCGTACTGTCTCATTTCTCCTGTTTCATGTCCTGTTATCATATACTCCTCGAACGGACCCCATAACGCTGTTGTGATTTTAGATCCCTCTACTGGGATAGACAGAAATGGTTTACTTTGTCCTGAAGAAAAAATTTCAAATAAAATTTGATGAAATACATGTAGAGTGAAACATCCTACTTTGCTATTGATTTTAACATTCAAATTTTAAAGAAAAGAGGTTGCCTGGATGTTGTATGTATCAGCACACTGATAATTGCTCCATTCTAATTTTCAGTCAGATGTCTTGCAATTTTACTAAAATCAGCATTTTGTATGTATCACAGACACTGATAACATCAATTTCTAACAACCCAATTTTCAGTCAGATATCTATGGGTTTTGCAATTCCACTAAATATAATGATGTCACCATTGCAAAATTATTTCACTTTGATTAATGAATTAAGAAATATACTTACTAAGTTGCTGTGGGTCTAATGCATCATAAAACTGTAGTTCACATGGTAAACCCATAGTTTTATCTGTAGAAACAGCTAATATTCGACCACTGAATGAAAAACTACATGTTCTCACACCAGTTCTTGTTTCAATACTATATATATTTTTACCTGTAAATGTAATATAACTCAATGTACTTCAATTAAACTAGCACAATCAGAAAATTAGAAAATAACATCCAAAATTACTTTAGAAAGATAACAAGCCTCATGTGACTGGCGGAACAGACTGACTTTATGCCCCCCTCCTCCCTGACCTGGAATCAGATTATATACATTGATATAAATAGATTAATACAAACAACTAACCTGTTTCACAATCCCATAATTTACAAGTATTATCTGCTGAACCTGTTAAAACTTTAGTTGTGTCCCCTATAGTGATAGTTAAGGAATTGAAAAAATATCTTGTTGAAGCAAAGTAAACCTAGGGCAATATGTTTGAAAGATGTCATTAACATCTCAAGGCAATTATTGTTAGAGCTGGATAGTTGTGAATTGAGAGACAAGAGTTTGGAAGTCACCCACTAAGTAATATTGAACATGAAATTTCAATGTTTGTTTAGGTCAGAAATCATGATTGCCTTTAGTTTTTTTTTACTGAAATAAATTGGCACCATGAAATCTTATGATGTGTAGCAAATGATATCCATGTTGTTTTGGAGCTGAATATCTTATATCATTTTCAAATGTTGAATCTCTTCAGTCCTGGGATAATTTTCAGTAGTCAACACTGGCTATTAGAAACTGTACAGGAGCTTAAGACTATTCAACAGCAATTATATTTCGCGCAAGCAAATTCTTACTCAATGTTGGAACTAACAATAAGCATTTAATCTTTTTCTTGTAAGAATACACAGTTTATTGAGTTTAAATTAGATCAAGAATTTCTATTAGAGAAAATTTGTTACTTTCAGATGATTAACCTTCATTAAATATCTAATAAAAAGGATACAGTTGACATCTAAGCTCCACACAGCTCCATTGTGGCCGTTATAACTTCCTAGACGTTCACCATTTAACGAGTACCAGACATTGGGTATGTTATCTTTTGAACTGGAGAATATCAAATCTCCCTCGCGATTGTATTTAACTTGAGTAATGGAACGTTCATGTCCTTGTAACAATATAGGTTTCTGAAATAAAAATTTGCCATTAATTAGCGAATGAGAAATCACACCTAAAGAGATAGTCATATAAACATTTAAGTTACCAGCTGTGATGACTATTTACCTTCATACCTGGCTTACTTCCTCTTGTAGATTTTAATATCTAACTTGAAGTAACAGAAACTGAGGTTTTTTTTAGAAGAAAAAATTACAGACTAATTTGCAGTGAGAACAGTCTAGGAAAGAACTTGTTACACCAGAAAATAAGTAATGTGGGTACCTACTTTTTTCTATAAAAAGATGTAAACAACTCAAGTCTCAAGACCAAGACTTCACATTTAGACTTAGAGATGGACAGGGTTGAAAATAGGGGGACATACTGCAGACTATAATCCCAGTACTTATAACATAACAAATCATTACCCATTTCGATCCAGAGCTACTAAGAAATTGGACAATAGACTTTACAATTTCACAACACAAAATGTTATATTGTAAGTGTAAGAATGGAACAAAATAACAAGGGATCAAACCGGCGCCATGATCAGTTCATGGACTGTGAATTAAGGTGTTGGGACTCGAAAAATCATCTCTGTGGGAAGCCCATTTGCCACAATTATAAAACGGATAAAAGTGTACAAATAACTAGGCTACGACACATATAATTTGAATTTTGAGACCAGAAATACAAATTTTACTTACCATCTTGTTGATTTTTTATAAACCGGAAACATGAGGTGACAGATCAAACTGCGCATGTCTATACAAATTGCACTTTGCACTGTCTCAAAAATGAATGTCAGTGGTTCTGAAACGAACGACTGTTCTTTTGGCAATTTATAGTCCATAATATGTGGTTTCTCTTCTTTTCACAAATTCTGTCACGGTCAACCGTGAAAGGTCTGCTAGCTACACGTAGATTTGTCAGGCCTAGAGTGACTGATTTTCATATCTTAAAATAGGAAACAGGAATTTATCTGCTGGTATTTAGACGACCACATCCCTTTAGGCCTACTGTGTAAACAATTGGGCTGAGGCCAAATCTGTGGCATATCTCCTTTTTTTGGCAGGCGTGTGGCATTTCTTAGAAGATTATGTAGGGTAGAGGCCGCAGAAATAATTAAACCGGCCAATCTCCTTTGTTTTTTTAAGGGGAAGGTGGGCATGTGTCCCCTTTGACCTCGTCCGGAGAAACGCCACTGTTTGAATCCTCCCTGAACGCCGACTGTATCTTTAACTTGTCTTGTGATTGAAACAGATGGTGTTTTGTCAATTTGATCAACACTGACTCATATCTCCTATTTATTATAACCTATTTCTGGGAATACAATAAAATAGTAAATTAACTTTTACAACTTATTATATATAGCCTATATGCCTACTTTAAAATAGATATCTATATTTCGTTTCGTGTTTATTCTACAGGTTACTACCCTTGCCATGCATGATCTGGCGAGATTCTTCTTATTTTGTTTTACAGGGGTGTATTAGAAAATACCTGAGGGTTTGGGGGGGGGGGGGGGGGGAAAAAATGAGAGGTGTCTCTCCGAGGCGAGTCCCAATGACCCTCCCCCTAAATACTCTACTGGTGTTGTATGGCTTCAAAAGTTAACATTATTTTGTGCTAGGCTGACCAATCAAATCACTGTCAAAAGTGGTTAGACAACACATGTTTACTTACAGGGGCGCATCTGAAATTTGAGAATATAGAGGGCTTCAAATTAACTTCACCTTTCGCTGGCATGAGGGGAGGGGGGGGGGGGGTATGGCCTAATGGCCCACCCCTAAATACGCTACTGAATGTTATTATAAATATAAGAGAATTCCTCACAATTGTAATGATATCTGGACACTTGATTGGGACACTTGCTCTCTACTTGGAGAAGCTCTTCTTTAGGAGAATATAACGTTCTACAGATTGAACCAATGGACACATTTTTTCAACCGTCAAAAAAAGAAAAAAAAGAATAGGCTTATGTTGACAGTAAAATTATCCTAATTGTACACTGTATGGCTTTGTCCATTTTATAAGAAAAATAAGGTGAGGAAAAAGTAGGGCGTAGAACTCGAATTGATTTCGTTTCACTTTAGAATAAAACATTGCATCAGCATTGTTGATTTGTGTGTCACGGCTGCGCACCACTAATCTTATCAATCACTATAAATTATAACACAGTCGCATTTTATTTCTACTTTAAAGGGATATAGCCGTCGAAATATAGGCCTTGGAGGCTACCCAGTTGCCACGAGCGTTCTGCAATTTACGTCAGCTAGAAGCATTTCAATCAGCTGCAAAGGGATTTTCATCAGCTGATAATAGCGATTTCCATCAGCTGATAATAGGGATTTCCATCAGCTTTTAAAAGCGATATTAATCAGCTGATGAAACGGATTTCATCAACTGTTAAAAGAGATTTCCATCAACTGTTATAAGGGATTTCCATCAGCTGATAAAAGGGATTTCCATCAGCTTATAGAAGGGATTTCCATCAGCTGCTAGAAGGGATTTCCATCAGCTGGTAAAAAGGATTTCCATCAGCTAGTAGGCCTAAATGGGATCTCTATTCTCCATCAGCTGGGGTAATGAAGGCTTCCATTGGCAAACATTTGAGCCTTCCAGTATTTTCTAGACTCTACTGTATTATACGATAAGCAATCGTGGTTTTTAGAATTGATATTTCAGACTACATCATTGGTTAACCAGACTGAGAATATGACGGCATGTTTCTATTTTAAAACGTGATGTTGTTTTTTTGTTTGTTATTGTTAGTTCGGGTATGTTTGTTTCTGTTGCTTACTACGATAATACACTTCAAGCATTTTGGTTGATGATTATTTTTATCTGACCAATCAAGAGTCCAAATTTTCAATGTTTTTATCTAGATAAGTAATTTTTGAATCAAACGCGAATGCAGCGGAGTAACATTCTATTTATTGCTATTTAAGGGATGGTGTAATACGCCGCGGCCTACTCTGAGAAATGAGTTAAATCGAATTGGGTTAAATGTAAATAATGACAGACAATGCCAGGAAGTACGCAATGAGGTAATTATGCCAGAACTGCAGTATAAGCATACCTTTTTCTATTTTCAACTGTTGAGACATCTTGTACTTGAATAGCCTGAAAGACCGAGGCACGCTGCACCTATGCCCATTCCATAATTTCCATAGTGATGACGCCTTCCTCATGTCAAACCTCCGTAAAGGGATTGTATCTAGGCTTATCGGGTACACCTTCGACTTCTATTTGGGACATTCCAATTCTTCGTCCGATGCCTGTCGTTCCTGAAATTTAAGAAATGATGCCCCCCCCCCCCCCTCCCCCTTGCTATGGTTTTATAGACCTATATTCTAACAAGCTCCATTTTTGCACACTATATGGCCAAATCTTTACTGAAAAAGTAGAGAATGAAGGACACAAATTATACTCCATGCGACAGCTATCAAAGGAATAGAAAAACTTGCCGAGGATTGCAGAATGGTAGGACCTACAAGTATGTCTCATCTGGTTTTGAGGAAGAAAGGTATATTAAATCTACCGTGGTGGGCGTGGCTTGTTGATGACGATATATATAAAGTTGGGTGGTAAATAAATTCAGCTAACTCTAGATAAACACAACTCACTGACTACATCGAGGTACATCTCGTCTGGTTAAAACTTCAACTTTCTTCACCAATAACAACATGTCTGGTGCAGCGCAGTCCGATTATACCACCGAATTAGATGAATACGATATTGACGTGCATAAACACGTACATTCTCACCACAGTGGTAAAGAAAGATCAAAACGCGAGGTACAGGAGCACACCAACCATCATGATTGTGCGGGACACAACAGGAAAACTGTCCAAAAACTCATGAATAACGAGAAAAACAACAAAGAAAAGAAAGGACCACAGAGTTGATTTAGTTTCTGTTTAGATTTTAAGGTATGTAATGTCTCTTTTAAAGTAAGTGTGTGAAGGGGGAGGGGGGATTTGGTATTTAAAAGGCGGACTTGAGGTTAGAGAAGGTGAAACGAGGGGGGGGGGGGGAGAAATTTTACTGCGATTTGTTGATACATGACGATTAGTGCGAAGAGTTCATGAACTCTACAAAAAGTTCAGTTGAATTGTTAGTAGAGCCAGGGGAGATTGGGGGAAGGAGGTTAAGGCTGCTTGGGGGTTAAGCATATTATGGATGTAGTTCTTATTAAAAGCAAAAATATCTGATATAGGAAGAAACATTGTAACATTATTGTTAAAAAAGAAAACATATGTTAGATAGTAACTATGTAGACGTGGCAATGTTAATTATGAATGACATATACGCAGTCGCAAGTTGTTTTATCAGATATGACACATGTCCTAGGTCAGTCAGTATAATCTAAATTGTATTTCACTGCTATATTATAATATTCATACAGTCATACATCCCGGTTTCCCCTGTCAGTGATGCAGGTAAGGGGGGTTGCATAGAAAAACCTAGTCCTTCGGATGGGACAATAAACTGTGGCCCAGTGTGCTAAAGGCTGTGCACGTTAATGATCCCTCAACAGTTAGAAATCGAAAAAGAGCATTAAATGGCGTTATCCTGGCAAAATTTCCCTCATTGCATTCTGCATGGCGTTGTCCATCTTCATTAGCCTACAGTTTTACAACTATGTGCTCTACTAATGAGTATTGGTTAAGCGGTATGCAATGATGGAAGTTGAGAAGAATACTCTACATGTAGGCTAGTATCACTGGGATTTTATCCATGGTTTCATGCGTTTATATTAAAACACCCTCTAAGATTTTTACCACGTCTAATTGTATTGAATATTTCTATAACAGTACGTAAACAACAGTACATGTACATAATAGAATAATAGAAGCATTAGAAGTAGAATCGACTTACATGTATGTCGATATTTTATATTTTATTTTGCAGATACCTTTCGCAAAACGTTAAACATTTGATTTTGATAATCAGTTGTTCAGATGGGACAATAAACTGTTTGCTCCAGGCTGTGCTTGTTATAGATCCCTGAACAGTTGGAAATGAAAATAAAAATAGTCTTATGCTACTGTCCAGGTCGATTACAATATTATATTATCCCTAAGTGTTGGAATCCCCTTTATACTGTGTGAGACTTTCCCCTCCACCTTTAATTCCTAACCTTATACCACTCGGTTTCCTTTATACGTTGACGGTTTTGTGGAATTATCGTACGGACACATGTAAGCACGTGTTGAGTTTGAGCTTGAGTTTTAGTTACGCTTACGTACACATACTCTTGCTCCCTGTAGCTAAAATCGTTAAAGTGGATCCAAGGTATAAAAAACACACGGCCTTATTGTCACCGTAATATGTAAGAAATATGAACTAAATGGTTGTGTTTTGGCACGATGAGTTATTATTATTTTAGTCATGATTAAGCAACAGTTGGTGGACGAAGACAAATTTAGAAGTTAGAACTCGAAATCATGATTGTTTTACAATGTATGTTGTCGATAATAAAATTGTAAAGACGTCGTTTTTTCTTAAATGTTTTTATTGATAATGTCATGAGAAGTATTTCATGGTGATATTAATATTAATATGCCTTATTAATTTCCTGAACTACCATCCATTAATCTTATCTAACATAGTTTAAGCTCAACACGTTTCTTTTTATTGTCTTGAAGGTTCTCGAAAGGTCTCTAACTCGGTTTTTACTACAGCAGGTGGCGTATAGATCACGTGACAAAGTTACTTTAATAGGTATTTCCATATACTAAATTCAGATACAAGATAACCATACTGAACTATTTATTATGGTTGTTCCATTTGAAATTAAACCACAATTTTCGTTCCGTTTTTTTTATATAGCCACTTCAGTTAGGGTCTAACGACAACCCCCTTGAACGTTCGTCAAAATAACCCTTTGATCTAATTTAAATTATTTTGTACGGTTGTTTGAAAATGTTTCATTTGTCATTGTGTCAAGCAATCTGCAACCTTGGTGTTTGCGATATATAGTTCTGCTCGCATCCTATTTTGATTTGAAAAAAACGTTACATCGAGCTTTCATTATAAGACAATTGCAAAATTATCCTCATCAAACACTGCAGGGTGTATCTGTCTTCATATTAGTACAATAAAAAGTAGGATTTATAGTGTAAAGTGTTTGATATTTAAACGGGTGAATATTTAGTTGTTTTGATCTGGTTAAAGGAATACTACCTCTTAAAATGAACACAAGAAAGGAGTTTCAAAAATCGTTCAATAAGCGTATTTGTTCATCTTTAACCTACCCAATCTCATAACTATCATATTCTTCTGTAATCCGATAAATACAATCGTAATTGTTATATCAACAATCGCGTAGTTTTATAGATTAATTGGTTTATGCATGAATTCTGATGTTTAGTTATATTACTGTTATTGGCCAATAGTACGTAAAACTCCATTCATTTCAATTCATTTTTGGCCAAGTTTGAGATTTACATGTATTTTAAGAGGTGCTATCTCTTTAAACACTGGTATTAAAACTGAGGTGAACTATAGTTCAAGGTGAAACGAACCGACGCGACCTACTATAGGGCATACTATATGTTTATCAATATCATCTGACTATTGAATACGCTTCTGAATGTGTCTGTTATTTCACGTATATTCAAAATAAATACTGAATGCATGTCATTTGGTTAGTTCATCTTCCCCAGGGTCCATGGCTAGGTAGCCTATTATTAGTTGAAATATAAAATTATTCATATCTAAAATAAATAGACGTTCGACGAAAAGTAACCAATATGTTGATTGATCATTCTTGAGTTTCTAAACTCCGTCAGCGACAAATCAAAAATTCTTGACCGATTCTGACGAAATAATGATATACCAAGGCTTTCTCTCATACAGAGTTGTCGTTCCTTTCATTCACATTACGTTGAAAAGGGGTAATCTCTCGTACAACGGTCAATGTTTTCTTAATCCTCCACCCTTGAACAAATCTGACAACCGACCAATTCCATTATAGTTTAAAGGGAAACAGTCGGCATTTTCGGGGATTCATTTGGGTCTTGAATGTGCTTAATAGCCTTAAGAAGTACTAAGGTATGATTGGTCTAACGGATAGTGAAGGTGCTTCTTTAACATTTCTTAATGACTTATATTATTTATAAATTTCAGGATTCATCTGGTGAAGGACACAACCCGCAGAACGGAAATACGAAATAGACCAATGGTTGGACAGAAATTAACCACGTGACTTTACAATGATTGGATAACGGAGACTGGATATTTTGTGCGCATGTTTGAATTAAGATTTGAATATGACTGGTTGGATTAAAATTCAGGACTCATCGTAATGTCTCAAGTTTCAAAAAATATTTTCATCATCTTCGAAGTGCTTTTTATTTTTTCACATTAATTTAATAAACTTTGTAATTCATTGTTCATCTTATAAAAATATTTCATGGGTTAAAAGTTTTTAATAGAATTTATTCATCTTCGGTTATTAGCAAATATAGCCAGAATCTTGTTGCCATGGATCATTAGCTTATAGGCCTACATTCACTTAGCACAGGGTTTTAAAACTTTGTCTGTCTGTTACCTCTTTCAGAATACTTTGCCGAATGCATTACCACTTCCGCCTCATCTTCACAATGTCAAGCTAATACGAACTTAGTTTAATACCTTCACTTCAATAGCCACCTTTCTTGTGTAGCGATTTAATTGGATTGTACGACTGCGAAAACATCCAGACCCCTCGACAGAAATATGTCCAAAAATATGACTGTTCAAAGACTTGCTCTTAAGGTCTCTAATTGGTTGTATTCGCTAGCATGCAATCCAATCAATTTGCTCTGTTTACAAACTTATGTTTGTGACTATTGCAGTCAAGGTATTAAACGAATTTCGTAATATCTTGACATTGTGAAGATCCTTCCTACTATATATTTCTTGTCGTTATTTCCTCCTAATTTGAACCAAACTTGAAAAAAAGAGGGAATGGCTTAACTTGTCTCATGATCAAAATATTAAAAATTCCTCCACTAATTTTAAGGAAAAAAAACGTCTGTCTGCAATAAATAAGTCACTTACTAACGGTCCGAACCGCAAAACGAAACCCCAAATCCAAACAACATATCGGCGAAATATTGGTAGCAGCTAATAAATATTTCAGGGAGTATATCAATCTTAAAAAAGTTGTATCAGGTGTTTAGAAAAGTAAGCATAGGTCTACCCTGTCAGATGCTACACAAGGCTTTAATTTTCAGCTATCAGAGGCTGTTGTTTCGGACAAGCTTCAGATAAACAAGTATTTAAACAGTTTCATAATATATGCATAACCTCGAAAACAGACAATTTTCAGATATGCAACCTAATCATCACCAGAGCCGTATATAGATCACCAGTACTGCAGTAGATCACTACAAAATGTATTTGTAGTCCGTATTGATACGAGTTATCTCCCGTTGATAACTCTTCAAACCAGAGAGTATAAAAGGTCTACAAAGAGAAAACATGGCCGGTGAAGTTTTGGTGGACGCGTTACCTTATTATGATCAGGGCTACGATGAGCCTGGGGTTCGAGAGGCTGCCATGGCGTTGGTGGACGAAGAGACCAGAAGATACAGGCCTACCAAAAACTACTTAGACTACCTTGGGACGCCTAATTATGACGCATTCGAGACCGAGATAATGAAAAACGAATTCGAACGTTTACATGCCCGCCTTCCCATGGACATGATGAGCATGAAACGATACGAATTACCTACTCCGCCTGCTGGGAAAATGACCGACATCACTGCATGGATGGAATGTGTGGACAATTCACAAGCTCAACTTGAGCATCAGGCCACCAGAATTTTGAATTTGGAAATTATGTCTGAATATGGGGCCAATGCCTGGAAAACATACAATGCAGTTCTTGCCAAAATGGTGGAGGATGCGCAGAAACAGCTCTCAGATTTAAGGAAAAAGATTCAAGAAATAAACTGGCAGCGTAAAAATGAACAATCTCAAGCTGGCTCGAAATTAAAAGAATTAGAAACACAGTGGGTAGGGTTGGTCAGTAAAAACTATGAAATTGAACGTGCGTGTGTTGAAATCGAAAAGGACATTACTTTAAAGGAAAAAATCACCAAGAAAAAATAATTTTCTGTGATATTTAGAGTTCTATTTCACAAACGATGTGCTAATTTGAATTCTATGTTCTATATTTGAGCACTAGAAAATATTTCGTTATTGTATGATAGCTGTAAAATTATCTAGTTCAGCTAAAAATCAGCAAGGCTAAACATTCAAATGCTTACAAAACGATTCCTATATGCTTCAAAAGAGTGGTTCAGTTTCATAACTGTATCCCTTTTTAATGAATAAAAGAATATACCGGTACATTGAAATGAAACCCAACATGTTCATGGGTCTGAGTGTAATGGAATAAAGATTCTAAGATATGGAATATTGTCATTCATATTGTGTTGTACATCATTATCATTCATAACATGCTCATTTTATTCAAGTAATAAAACTCTAATCATGTTTCACTGTACTTACTTTTATGCTAGTCCATACAAAAATGTATGGTTTTTGAATTTTGTTTACAAAGGCCAAGATTTGAGTCATTTCTAGTTGAAAACAATAGGAGGTATAATAGAGCTAATTCACCTCTACTGTTTTAATTCTGATATTTATAGAAATGAGTACAAAGACAATACTCTTTAACAAATTTGAGGTGGATGATAGACTAATTCAATTATCTTAAGTCTATCCACCTAGCAGTGTCTCCATTACTCTAGGATGAGGTACTGGCGCACTTTAATTATGGTATGGGAATCAGTATTGAACAAGAGCATCAAAACAAAGAAAACAAATACAGTTGGGAACCATCGACCCAAATAATACAAATCTTCTACTGTCTTAATAAAATTTTACTCAAGAGTACTTGACATTTTTTCAGTCATTCATAGTCATTAAATTTCACCACACAAAATAAAATCAATATAGTCTCTTTCCATCCTTGTAATTACTTCGATGTTTTCTGCGTAAGCTGGTAACTTTAGTTTTAGAACCTGGAAACGCAGTCAAACCTTGAAACATAGTGTCCTTTTCCGTACCAAATTTTAAAGCATCTAGTTGAAGATGGAGGTTTTTTGGTAAGTCTGTACTCGCCATGTCCTCTAGTAAGTTGGTGTCACGAACTTCTATCTTAAAGAACTCCACAGCATCTTCTATAGTATTTATCTGATTCAATTGGTAGTTTGGGATGTTATGATCAAACTCAGATATTAAGTTAGTCAGCAACTGGAAATAAAAAATATAATAAAAATAGTCATAAAAGCAGACACTAAGTTGTGTTACAGAATGAATAACTGTCCTAAATTAAGAATATCTATCCAATACTATAGTAAAAGAGTTTAGGGATTTTTTTGAAAAGAATATGTTTATCAATCTTTCAAGAGAGTTGAAGGTATTATTCTAAAATACCATGCAGATAATATACCACCAAATCTTTATAAATCAACAGTGAATCTTCCTACCCTAAATTTGACTCTTCTGTTATCTAATTTATAAGATTTCCAGTTATCTATATCTCCACAGATCTGCTGAACATTGAGATGAATTTTATTCTCCAGGTCTTCTGGTGGTTTGTACGTTTTAATGACATTCAACACTCTAAAATAAATACCATCAAAATAGTACAACTTTTATAAAAGCAATCATACATACTAAAAATAACATCAATATCCAAATATATTTGACAGGTAGTAAGAAATGTCCCTTGTTATAAGTTCCACCCTTCGGGCCCTTTACGGATAAATACATTCAAAATTATAGCAAAAATTGTAGGCCTGTCACTTTTAAAAAGGCATTATACATACATGCTATCAAGTAATGTTTAAGATCTTGGCAGATTTGGCTCTACTACCCATTCCTTGGATGTGATATACTGATGGGATATATTGGTTACGAGCCAGATGTAAAATGTCACTTTTTAAGGCAGTAGCTCTGATCCTTTTTAGATTGCTTGTTTTTAAGAATTTCACCATAACACAATCAACACTTCCATAAATCTATACAAATCTGAACCATTAATCATTCCATCAAGACATCACAAGATATTCTTCCCCACACAGTACAACAAGGCAGTCGGGTAGGCTTTACCTTTTTCAGTACAACTCTGTATGTTAAGCCTACCCTTGTTTTCGATACGTTATTTTCAGTTCAAGTAACTTTCATTGCACATAATAATATATCACTGTCACTTACGTTTGCATTCTGATGTCTGAACGCTGATGTTCAGATAGAAATGGTGTTTCTGGTTCAGGTTCAATTTCTTCTTTTTTCTTTCCATCATCTTTTTTCCTCCAAAAACTTATTCTTCTGAATGACTACAAAAACAGAGTTGAAAATCAAAACTTTAAGGGGGAGTGTGTGTCAGCTTTAAAATAACTAGAAACTGAAACTAAACATTAGAAAATGCAGTCTCCCTTTTACCTTTAGTATGGTATACAGATATACCAAGTTTTGTAAACATCGTAAAATCATTTTTGATAAATGCAGACAAAGACAGTAGAAGGAGTTATAATTGTTTAACAAACTTCCTTGGGTTATGACGTTTATAACATGTCGACTTCTTTCTTATACTGTCAAAGGAAATAAAATTATCTCAACTTTCAAAACTGTCCATTTTAATTGAATAATAATACAAGGCATGGGATTTCCTATATTACCCTAAACATCATTAAGAATTCCACTGGCAGTGGAATAGCTCAGTTGGTAGCAAGTTGGATTGTTGTCTGCTAGGTGTAGTGGGTTCTCCTCAAGGAAAGAAAAATTATGTCTGATGCCTGTACTTCCAAGAGTCGACCCAGTGTCGACTTTCACACCCTAATACCTAAACAAGTCATTAAGAATTTAATGACTGCAGTAACTATAGTCGCTACCTTAAACTAAGGTAGACTATTTTACATTCTTGGCTGGTGAAAACAATAACTCAAAGTGATCTGACAGGAGTGGATATTGTTACATTATAGACCCTTACAGCTAATAATGCCAGATTTAAAAACGGGTGGCAAGTAATAAATAACGGTGGCGAATATCCTCGACCCTGATCCGACAGTCGACACTGACAGTAGTGACAACAAGGTCAAAAATGTTTCCAATTTCTTGATAGGGAAAAGTGTAAGAAATTCCTATAGAGAGAATGAAGTTTCTGAATCAACTTTAACCTATTCATATCACCTGATTTGCATATCTTGAATTACTTGCTTGTTGCAAGACTTTTTGATATATTTTAGGAAAATTCGACATGATCATGGGCGCAGCCATTTTGTGAATAATTGAAATTTCCCAAAACGAAGTATATTTGTTTTGTAAACAGAATATTTTCTCTCAGTTATAAAAGTCAAATAATTTGCAAACTAAACATTTTGATGATATTTTAATGTTTTCCTTTCAAACTAGCATGGTATCTACAGTGATTTGTGTTTTCGTTTCTCCATTTTATGCGGCAGTTTCAAAATTGTTGACATTCTTAATCTTGAAAGAAAAAGGATTTGAAAGACTATGGGCCCTTGAATTATTAGCAGACGATCTTTACGTGCCAGCACTTATTTATGTTCTGTAAATGAATATATGATTCAGATTTACACCTAGACCGACAGGTTGACTCTAAGACTAAATCTCTGTTTCGGTTTAATTTACACCTGAAAGGTACAACCATTTTTGTTGAGCTATTGATTGGCTACTAAGGCCTCTAGGCCTAATAAAGCACTTGAATTTAATATAGACAGAAGAAAAGGGATGGGGGCATAACATAACATAGACAAGACATAATTGTTAGTGGGTGAAAGCTGTCTCTCAGAAGCACTGAAGACAGAGGCGTTGAGAGGTGGAAGTAAAGAAAGACTGGCAAGCCAAATGTAAGGTGCTGTCGCTGACTCGCTGTCATTGTCATAAGACATTGTTTTACTAGAATATTGCTGTTGCAAAGCAATGATGTTAACAAAAGATATATGGTGAAACTTGTTTTTTCAGGCGTCCAAAATGTCAATGATAACTGTACAGTTGGGGCAATGTGGAAACCAAATAGGTGGTCAACTCTTTTCTACTATAGCTGATGACATCACTTCCACTAAACACATGGTAACAGCCAATAAGAATAGAGAATATGGAGAAGAGGTCGTTAGACGATATTTCAACACCCCTGAAAAATCTGAGTTTGTGGAAGCTCGAGCTGTCATGGTGGACATGGAATCGAAAGTTATTGCTCAGACTTGTCAAGAAGCCAAGAAAAGTGGCATATGGAAATACCCTGATAAGCAACAATATTGTCAGAAGAGGGGCTCGGGAAATAATTGGGCACATGGATACTGTGTTCACGGGCCTAATGTGAAGGATAAGGTCATGGAGATGGTTCAAAGAGAGGCTGAAAAATGTGACCGACTCTCTGGATTTCTGTCGTTGTTGAGTTTAGCAGGTGGTACAGGGTCCGGTGTTGGAACGTTTATTAACGAGGCCCTGCGTGACGAATTTCCTCATTCATTCATCATGAATCAAGTCGTTTGGCCATACAATACAGGGGAGGTAATCGTACAGAACTATAATGCTGTATTAACGTTGTCTCACCTTTACCAAACAGCAGACGCAGTCGTTGTCATGGAGAATGATCATCTGCATAAAATCTGTTCCCAGCTACTAGACATTAAGAAAATCAGTTTTAAGGATATCAATAAAGTTGTGTGCCATAAATTAGCCTCTGTGTTACTGCCAGCTTGTGATTCTCAGGGTAAAACAGATAATGACTTGGGTAAGTATGAGACAATTAGGGGGAACATTTTTTATTTTGGCTTCATTTTTTTTCCAATGAGGGATTGGAAAGAGCTATTCCAACTTTTTGATGTGTATCTGGGCTATTAATGGTTTCTATTTGCACTTTTCCACATTTCAGTCTAAGGTCTACAATTCTCATGGATAATGACTTGGGTAAGTTTGGGACGATTTCGGTGAAAAATCAAATTGTTTGTTTCATATTTTTAATTGATCACCATTACATGCAATAAGGGTTGAAAGATGACAGTGGGCTGACTTTCATAAGCACTGGCAGAAGCATACAAATTTGTCTTACTTCCAGGAGGGTTCAAACCCAAGGCACTCAATTACCTACCAGACGAACATTAATTTCAGAAATTATTCATTCAGGAATGTTGCTGCACCATCTTGTTCCTCACCCAGAATATAAATTATTATCTATTCGAAACATTCCACAGATGTCAGCCCACGTCATGGAGTTCAGCACGTTCCAGTGGTATGGTCTAATCAAACATTTACGCCAAATGTTCCTGGCAGACGCTGCCATGGAAGAAGGTGAGTGTCATCGATATTTAATTTAAAAAAAAAAAAACCAATAGATTTTCTGGAATATTACAATTTTTTTTAGGAGTATAGTTCACTTTGGTAAACATTTTTTTTCTGTTAACATTGTAAAATTGTTTCTACAAAGATATCAAAAGAGGAAGAAGGCAAAAAACTCCATTGTGACATGATTTAGATTTTTTGATTTTCCACAGTTCTCTGTTTCAGATTATTATTTTAATCATGTATGAGCATTTCTAAACATGTGGAAAAGGTAAAAGAAATTGTTCACGTTATTTCAAAAATTAGTTATGGTTTTTTTGTTGTAGGTATTGATTGGCAGGTGAAAACAGGAAATGACACGCCTAGGGGAAGCGTACGTCACAATCGATCCTTAGCGAATATGTTAATCGTGCGAGGCAAAGATGTCGAAAGTGCTGATCATTCGTTGTTTTTGGAGGACAAGTTATATTCTTCGTGGACACATCCTGATTTAGCGTTCACTAAACTATCGCAATCCAGGGCATTTAATCAATACGAAAAATGTGCAGCTCTTATCAGCAACAATCGTTCACCAACACTTCCGTTAAATTATATCGTTGATAAGGCGTGGAATATGTTTTCATCGCGAGCGTACGTACATCAATATACCAAACATGGTTTAACGGATGAAGATTTCATGGACTCCTTTGTTACTCTGGAACAAGTTTTACACAACTATAAAAAATTGTGATTCATGTCCTGCTTTTAGCTGTTCATTTTGTCTGAAACTGTTATCATTAACCACTTTTTGAAGCCATGAGTTAATGTGTAAGATGTTCTGTGATGTTTCCACAGATTGAATTGGTCAGTTTAAAAGATGCATAGTAATATTACAACCTATTATCAACTCGTTAATTAGGCCAAACCAGTGGCGTTGCCAGGATTTCATTGAAGGGGGGCCATCCGAGCACTTCTGCTCCTCTTTTGGATTATTGAGGGTACTAGTGACATTGGGGTGTCGGGATGACGCCTCTCGTTATTTTTATTTCATCTAGGAAGGCAGGGAATTATTGGCTACCAACTTCCATAGTTTCCACATTGTGGAGCAGATGGGATTAAATGAATGGTATGTGTTGCTTGCTTGCCTATTCTTTCAGAACACCTAATGCCACTTGATTGAATTTGTCAGACCATGATTCCTTCAGAGAGACCACAGAGTTTATTTGGAACTTTATAAAAGAAATGGGAAATAACTCTGTTGATGTAAGTCAAATCAAGACCACAATGAATTAGTTTCCGTAAATCTGTAAACAAATTTGTATTTCATCTATATTTAGTCTTTGTCTGTTTCTTTCACATGAAAGTGTGCCCCGTTTTTCAATTGGCCTCTTCCCTCAGGTCTTTGAAGTTCTGAAACACATGCAAATCAACACCCTTCTATATACGATCTGTTTTGCAAATATTAACACCTGTACAAAACAAACGATTTTCCGTTTTGTTGGCGCTCTTCAACATATCTGTAATGAATGGCATCCATAGTCTGCCGGAATTCTTAATATTGTCAGGTGTTTCTGGTAGATCACTTCACACACCGAGACTACTGTTACTTGCGAGGGATCTGTCGGTCCCCCCTCCGTTTGAAACTATATTTTATTGCGAGTTACTCTCAGAGAGTGCCCTTCCACATCAGAGACCAATTTCATTCGCGAGCTGCTCGCCGAAATGGCATGCGACTTTTATGTCATCTTGCTAGTTTGCTTATGGGCCGCGGTTGTTATAATAATCAATCGAAAGACCGCAGAACAGAGGCAATAGTTTATCTATACCTAATTCAAATATTTTTGAATTTCAATGGGTCTAATCCACAAAATTTCGTTAAAGTCCATTAAGGTTTGTTTCTTCTATTACGGAAGGAAATTTTTATACACATTTCACGAAGCCAAATTCTGCAAAAGGATCTTGGCTATTGTAAAATCTGCTAGTTTTCTCAAACAGAAGGTTCTGAACTTCAGCTCCTCATACGAAGCGGGAGCTGCGTTGGCTCAGTGAGTTAGACGCTTGCTCGCGAACCTGAAGGTCCAGGATTCAATCCCGACATAGGTCGAGATAATACTTCGGATTTTTCAACCCGGTTTCCCCTGTCAGTAATGCAGGTAAGAGGGGCTGACATGGAAAAAGCGTCTAGTCGTTCGGATGGGACAATAAACCGAGGTCCAGACTGTGCACGTTATAGATCCCTCGACAGTTAATCGAAAAAGAGCAAGCTAATGCCGCTGTCCTGGCAAAATTTCCCTCATTGCACACTGCGTTGCCCGTCTTCATTTAGCTCACATGGTGCAGAAAAGTAGGACGTAAAAACTCCATTCATTTCATTTCATTTCCTCATACGAAGCTCTTGGATTAAGTAAATCTATTTATTGTTAGGGGGTAGTGGTTTAAACATGAAAACATAACAACATGATGAAGCATATTATCAAATAATATTTATTGTTGACAATCATACATACAAAACAGAACAGTGAAATACACAATAATTGACTCATTGGGTCTGTTTGATTCACTAGTATAGCATATTGTTCATTGTTTAACAATGTTTGAATCTTCTCAATCAAACAGGTTCTGTGTGATCTTAAGAAATCGGTTGCATCAAACAAGTCTGAATAAAGAACTTTGTTGAATCAAGCAAGCCTGAATCAGAAGTAAGTTTCAACAAATCTGAATATGAAACTTGGTTGAATCAAACAAGCCCTAATAAGAAACTTATTTATAGAATCAAACAAACCCTTGGCTAAGTTTTGTTTTTAAAATTTTGATCACCAAACTGCCAGTAATTGACAATGTCTACTGACAATCTCTCATGAATGTTACAAAGGCTTTCATTCATTTATGGTTTTCAAATATCAGCCGGTTAATCGACCTTGACCCTAAGTCAAACGCACATGTAAATTCAATACCCACTAAAGTTCAAAGTTCATACATAACTAAAAGCGGTGATGGAAGCAAAACATGAATCCAAAAATTACAAGCATACAGAAATATACAAAATAGACAATAAATAAATACAAAATATAAATACACAAAATTGGAAAAATGACTAGTTCTGGATTTCTTATCTCTTCTAAATCTAGAATCATGATTGATTTGATCCTTTACACCCTATAGGGTGGCTTACTTCTCTGTCATTTATGAACATTTAACCTTTATGTTTCCTATAATATGTTTCTATTGTGAACATTACACCCTCTAAGGTGACTTACTAATACTTATGCCTTTCCTTTTACACCCTTTTATTTGCAAAGATGCATCTTTAGCTCTTAACTAATACTATCTACATCCTCTAGGATGGCTGGTCATTTCTGCCATGACTTAAAATACCTGTTAGGTTTACTAACTGTTATCTTCCTAAAAGCCTTTACACCCATTAAGTTGGCTTTTAATATGACTTAGTCTTATAAACATTTTATCCTTTACATCCTTTAGGTTGGCTTATTATTTATTAGTATGAATGATGTTTTGGTCTCGTTGGGCTAGTAAATCTGAATGTTGAAGAATATCAAGTAAAAGTACAATGTTCATTAAATGTAATTTACGATCGATTTTGAGTTTTGATTGATTGAATTATAAGTACAACACATTGACTGATAGAGTGTTTTCAAATTGATGGAACAATGACAGTTTTTTATCTTCAATCTTGTAACACTCAAAATATTCTTTCTCAACAACCAGAATCTGTACCCGAAATAAGAAGTAATACAATAGAATGTCGTCTGTGAAATTAAAGTGAAACATCAACAGAGAATAGGCCTACAGCAAGGGCACTGGAATCAAATTCCATAAACGGCAGGGCCACAGGAGGAGCAGAAATAAACTTGTCGACCACGCCATTCCATCTGAAGCTTCACCACGTTGGTGTAGCGATAAGAAAACACATCCGAGGTCCAGTTTACAGCAGACAATGGAAAAGGGCATAATGTTCTCTCCCCGTTCTCTCCCCGTGCTGCCCCTGATAGAGAAATGGTTCCAGCACCCTCAGGATTACAATACAGAATATAAAGATACTGTTCATCACAACCTCTCACTCGGTGTCTATGTACAAAATATTGTTTTCAACTCTTCATAGAGATAGACCAAGTTTTCTTCCTCCATTTTCTTTAACATTCAGGGGAGATAATGTTCAAAGTCCTGTTTGGCAGCAGAGCATTTTATTCTTACGTGGTCTTTGACCTGATACCAAAATGTCTCTAAATACAAATATATAGAAAGCCAAATCTTGTCAAAATGCACTAACCGCTCTCTGACCAATGTACAATGTTGCTTAGTAAAATGCCTAAGAACAACTCTTCAACTCTTGTCCCAGAGAAAGAAACGGAGGAGAGAAAAGCTATGGTCTATTTCTATCTATATATCACATAGTGACTAGACTCACTCAATCTGTACAATATTCTAGATACTGCTTACCATCTACCACCTAGCTCTCTAATGAGTTCTCAAACTATAGCGATTTCCAGTTACGCATGGTTGAGAATAATAAAAGAGTCCATGAGTACCGAACGCAACTCATAAGTCAATATTGCATGAGGGTTGCGTTCGGTACTTATGACCGGTATTCTTATGTGCAACTGGTGATCACTATGGTGTGACGGCCCTTACGACAGTTACTACAAGCTTTAAGCTTCAAGCCAAAATACACAACATTACTGCAGTAGAGCACAGATACTTTTTCGCATCCATGTCTATCTTCACAGTGTCAAGCTCTTACGAACTGTACTTATCCCATCTAATAACAATTGTAGTCAAGGTTTAAGACGTAGTTCGTAATAGCTTGACACTGTGAAGACGATCCAGGTCCGATTCAAATCATGCACGTACAAGAGCAGTCTACTTATTTTTTAGGTAGAATAATAGTAATTGAAACAACACATAGTAGACATGCATTGTATTGATCACTACTTATACTACCTCAAGAAAAGTAGACTACTCTGGATAATGTTTTGAATCAGACCTGGATGCGGACCAATATCTTTGCTCCCCCTATACCCCAATAATTCTGAAAGATTCAAATCTAAAGGTTTAAAACATTCATTTGAGATGGCAAATTGGTAGAGCTAAGTGCAATTTATTTTAGGTTTTAGGTTTAAGTTATTGCCATGACAATGTTAATGCTATGATTTATAAATTCAATCCAAATATTACTAAATTAATGGCAGTTTAAATGTCTTTTTTTTTTACAAAACTAATGAAATATGAGAGCACAATTCTATAAATTTAAAATCACCGGCAAATTTGAGTAAGCAGTATCCTTTATCATTAAATCTCAATTAATTAATCTCTAATTAACTTTGTCTCATTAAGAAAATGGCAGTAATTGTGATATGGTGACACTAAAGGCAAGTAAAATGGCAGTGACGTGACGCGACATGACGTAATGACATGACGTGGCTAAGGAAGGGGAGCTAATCTCCTGTAATTCATTATGTTTGGACTGTTGTATATTCTGGTTATATCCCGGTATAGTTTGGCCTTCTGGAGTATTTTTACATTTTAACCAATCTTTAGCGATGGATTTCGGGTAGCCTGGTCGTACGGTCATCTTCAGATCGTAAAACTCCCAGTAGTTTGGTCCGCTTAAGAAATACGTTTTTCCTGCAATACAGTGAAATAAAAATAAAATCTTCTCGATTAAAATAAAAAAAATAGTGTATTATTTCATTTTTTCATTGATCTATGTTTAATTTTCACGATGATGCATGTTGTCAGAAAGTTTCGAACAGTTTCTCCGATCTTTCAATTATTACAAAATATCAGTCCTTGGTATGGGACAAAAGATTAGGGGATGAAACCATTTGATCGATAGGCCTACAAACAGAATCAAAGTCTCCCCTAAATTTATCATTCAACTTTAAGATGGCAGTAACAAATTGGAACCCAGCCAAGGTTAAAGTGATAGTGATATACTTATAAAAAACACAATGAGCAATTAATATAGAAAAACTATTTGTTATTTTGACGTTCAAAATATGCCAGTTCACTTACCATTCCAATGCCTAAAAGCAGCGTCGACAGGGACTGGAACTCCCATCCATATACTCATATCCCTGGGGTAGTCATACTCGACATAGGTATTATTAGCGTCTAGTTTCCAATACATATCTCCACTCACTAAATACGTTCTGTTGTTAAAACCCCACACATATACTGTATCAATCTTCTTCACGTCCGGTGGGATTCCAAAATCTGTGATTGGGCGACCCTTCGTCGGAAATGACGTCACTAAGTAATTAGCGTTGAATATCCAGTAACGATCACCTAAAATAATAATGTTTCCGATTAAAACATTTGTTTTTTTTTTCTTTCGGTTACGAATAACTGTCTTTGTCATCCATGATCCTGCAAAATTGTTATAAAACATATGAACCACAACGGAAGTACCTACAGAAAAGGAGACGACGGAAATAGCGGATAAAACCTACCAGATAAGAAGCCTGCCTTAAAGGCAATATCTTCGAGGAAAGACGCCCTAAAGGAAATTTATAAGAAGGCACATGGGAGGTACATAACCAGTTTGGGAAGACCCAAGGAAAGAAGCCAAAGGAAAGTAACCACCAGTTGGAATCCCTAAAGGAAGTAAGCACCAGAAAAGCAGACCTGGGGGAAGTAACCACGAGAAAAGAAGACCAAAGGAAGTTCCTACCAAAAAAGAAGAACCCATAGGGAAAACCTATGAGAAGTACCAATTAAGAGGGAAGATTTAAAGGAAGTACCACCAGAAAAGGAGACAAGGGGAGAAGTACCTAGCAGAAAGGGAGACCAGGGGAAGTACCAACCAGGGGGGAAGATTTAAAGGAATTGCCAGAAACCATACCCCAGGGAAGTAACCACTAGTATGAGCCAAGGGAAAGTCCTTACCAGAAAAGAAGACAATCTTGCCATCTGTTGGTCGTTCGTACACGGCATCAATATGTGTCAGATTGCTGGGGAATCCATACCAAAATTTATGAAGATTAATAGGATCCTTGATGATATTTCTCGAGTCTAATCGCCAAAACCACTGAAAAATTTACAATAGTTGATTAATTGAACATTATCTTATTCAAAGTGCGAAAAAAATTGAACAACAGGTAAAGCTAATGGAATTGTTTTCCCTAAATATGTAATTGATTATTGTGTACATTCCAAAACCATTAATATCAATCCTCTACTTACGTTGCCGATGAATAAAAAGATTTCAGTTCTGATGACAGTGATAGCATCAAATGGTTTGGTACAGGGATCTGGTGGGTCTCCAGTAGGGTATCTGTCTGTAGGGTTAACGGTATAACCATCATCTGATCTCGGAGGTTGTGTAGGTTTAGTAGGGGGTAGATCTGGTAACTCGGCACCTTGTTTAGAACCTGGAAGAGTTATATAGGGTTTGATCATTTTCTGCTTCACAATCTTCAAGACCGTGTGCTACATGTTGCGTAGTGATGCACGTTAGAGGGGCTGACATGGAAAACTAGTCGTTCGGATGGGACAATAAACCGAGGCCCCTTGTGCTACAGGCTGTGTACGTTAAAGATCCCTCGACAGTTGGAAATCGAAAAGGAGCAGGCTTATGCCGCTGTCCTGGCAAAAATTTCTCTCATTGCGTTGCCCCTCTACATTAGCCCACATGGTGCAGAAAAGTAGGACGTAAAACTCCACTCATTTTATTTCATTTTGTTGAGCTATTTGAGAGCTTGACAAAAAAGAAGGAGAAAAATGATCAAATCTCTCCATAAATTGTAAGAAACTAAATGGATTTTATACTAACCATATAAAGTCTGGATACCAGCGACATCATCTCTAGGGAGGGCAAATTTAGTCTGGAAGCCCTGGTACCATGGATACATGAGAGCTCCGGGTTCACTGCTGTGGGCGAGACCTAGAGCATGCCCAAACTCGTGAGCTGCCACCATAAACAGATTCACTCCTAAAATGCAGACAGAGTTGCATTCATAGTCATGTGTTAATGGATGTTTGGTAAACATATTTGCAGTGTGGTACCAATGGTAGGGTGAAGATGACCTGTCGCTGTAGGGGAGCTCATAGTCAATACGGTTTTAAACTCAGTCTTAGAAGTTTGAAACTGATAAGCTGATCAACGAACATCGTGCACACATATGAACTAAGACGAAGGATCCTTTAATTTGAAGTGCAATAGACAGAGGTAGAGTTAGGTCATCCATTGGTTCAGCTCAGTTACCCAAAAAATATTTCGCAGGCAATGGACCTGACAGTCACATAGATGAGGATTGAGGAATTTCAACTACCACACCCCACACCTTGGAATAGCTACAGTCTGATAGTTTATGAATATTGAGTGCATATCGAACAAGATCCTGGTTTCAAGAGGAAAGTCTATAAGTTACAAACAGGAAGATAAAACTCGACTAAAGGACATGTAATTGAAGATTTTATAACGGATTTCCTTCACTTATATTTCAGTGCATTCATTTAATATTCGTAATTTATACTATATTATTTTATATACGCCTTTTCAAAGGAATATCAAATATATTTATACCTATAGAGCCTCTTATTTCACACGAATGCATAACAATATTTTTGTTGATGGAAGAGGAAAGGAAACTAAGCATCTGGATTTGCCTATTTATGCTTAACGAAAGCCCAGTGGTCAATAAGGGACAACATAATTGTCAAGGAGAGATTCCAAAACAAGGAATGTAGGAACTAATTATTAGAATTTTGTAATTGGGGGGAGGGGCAAAGGTGAGGAAGCCTATTGTTACCTTCAGACGAGTTGTACGTCCACCGTTCATCATCATCAAAATGTGTATCACCACCGCGACCAGTGCCAGGAAAGAAAGCATGGGCCAGAATCATACCTGAAAATTACAGAAAGGAGTTGCTACTGTACAGAAATACTAATACTTTATCTGAGTTTGTTCATTGGGACCCAGCAGTTATTGACTTTCCAAGGTACTGCACAATCCCCTTTATATTCGGCTGTATCTCCGCTTTGGTCATAACAAAACTTCAGAATATAACATGTAGCAATCGAAGATGTTAAGATGTACACGCTCAAGCTCAACGCATTAGTTTCATTTTAAAGATACGCATGGAGTATCCTGAAATATCAGGTAGTAAGTCCAATAAGTATATAGAGAACCAGCCTTACCTTTTCCATCAAAAGGATAACCATCTTGATGATATTTACTGGCAAACTGAATCATAATATCAGCATCCCCGTGCATCTTTTCTTTAAACGTCAACTTGGTGACGTCACTCCACACCTGAAACGCTCCGTAGATGATGTTTCGGATATCATGCATTGGCATATCAGGTGAATAATTATATAACCTGAAAGATACAGATACATTGGTATGAAGTTTTACGTCTTATATACACAGTTCAGTAACGAAACAGTTTACGCCATGTGTCGAGTAATGAGAAATTCCCCGCGTCCGCAAAAGCGAGAAACAGCAGTGCACTGATCACGTCAAGTCGAAATGTTTTCTATTTTGAGACCCTAAATAAAGTTATGCGAGACCCTTTTCTGTCGGAAAATGATTTACTCCAAATTTTGCTCTAACACATGTTAAAAATTCTCGTTGTTTTGTATGTTCAGTTGGGATACTTATAGATTCTGATGATGACGTGACTATTACAATGTAATGCAAACCAAGTAGAAGGTGTTCAAACATAGGCCTTACCCCTTCTTTTCCCTTGGTCGTGTGGAAGCTTCCCTGAGTGTATCTTGCAAATTGTAGGCATATTTCAAGTGAAAAAAACTCAATGCGCCATGGAATCAAATATTACGCATAACTATTTGGAAAGAAGTTGAATTTTACGTTTGTGTCTGGTATTGTACAAGACTACGTGATTTAATCAATTATAAATTGGGGGTGATAAGAGTGGAAAGAATTTCATATCCTAATGGATGACCCAATCCTTGAAGTTTACATATGATATGTTTACAATTAACATTGCGTATCTCAACAACTTGTTGCTTACAATATTCATTATCTTTTTGTGCGACCATCAGTATCACTGCGGACACCGACCGTGAAATCCACGGGGCGTTCTTGTTTAACTTTAGTGAACGTACTTAAAAAAAAAATGGACGAAATGTTCATAATTTTGTTTGACAAAAGAAAAGTCAGGGAAGGGGATGGGATGAATGCGTTTTTTAATTTATTTAAGTTTTCTTTATTCAGTTTTTTCAATTATTGGTCTCTCAAACTTTTTAGTGTCTCAGAAAATCCAATAACTGGCACCAACTTTTATCAACAACATATATATCTCCCTGGTTCCTCGAAGTTTCAAAATAACAAGACCCAAAAATGCATCTACATTTGATCGCTTAATGTAAGCAGTTGATATACAACATGGCAATAAATAAACCAAAATGAACAATATAAGCTATTTGGACTCTCTGAATGGGTTACCAAGTTGGCAAACTCAGCCTCAGAGTGGAAGGTGGACATGCTCTGCCTCCGAAACGACAACCGCCATTGATTATATTTAATAACTTAAGCTTCGAATGTTCGGTGTTCCAGCGGAGTGGACCAAGATAACTTTAAATTTAACTTCAACTATTAAAACAAGATTGTTTAAAACAAGATTGAGCGACCCAAACTCAAATAAAGAACTGACTGTGTGATATTGGAATATTTAGAGTCATTGAAATGAAGTAATTTAAAAATAATTAAAAGTAAGGAATATCTACCAGACCCAATTAACCAAATAATCATTTAGATCACCAACTGTGTAATATTTAACGATTCTGAGACAATAACTTGTATATATTAGGTAAGGAATATTTGAGAGACCACATGTTCTGTTGAAAGAATTCCAGACGCTATTTAATATTTCCTTTTTAACTCAAACACATCAAGTTGAAATCCAATCCTTGTGATATTTTCTCTCTATCGTCTTTTCTACAGTGTGACCTCAATAGACATTGCAGGGACAGTTAGCTCCTATAGAAACTCTACTTCAACTTTCATAATGTGCTACCAGGTTCGAAACTCATCAACATACATAACTCATAAACCATCTCAAACCAATCCAACTTTTATGTGTGCTACCAAGTTCAAAACTCGTCAATATAACTCTGAAACCAACGAATCTTGCTAAAAATATATTTGTATATCATTATATCATATACCTAATTTAAAATCAGCCTTTATAAGCTCATCTAATTCGAAACTTTTTCTAATATATAAAGATCAATAAATCCAAATAACAAGGCAATGAAATAAAATGAAATGGAAATTTCCGTCCTGAAATTTAGCGCGTTAACATACATAATATCTTTTTTTGTCGAAACCTTAAACAAACTCAGTAAGAGTCCAACTTTTAATACACCGTCACAATTGAATGAAGGATAATCGTACGACATTTTACAAGTGGATTCCCCAGAGATGGTGTGGTGCCCCTGGTCGATGGTCCAAGGATGTGTAGAGAGGATGGCGAGCCTGTCCTCATTCATGCAGGTTGTGATGATTCAAAGAGGACATCACAACCACGATGAACAGGGACACACAGACCACGTGATAAAACTCTTTCAGAAGACAAACTACTCGAGCTTTAGCTATGAAATAGACCATGAAAAAGACCAACCACGTGACAGTTAGGACTGGAGACAACTATCGCTGAAATCTGATCATCAAATCTAGGGACTAGGAAACACAAATAGCTCTAAATAATACATTTCGAGACACACAGAAATCGTGACAAAATTTCACCTGACGACAAATATGATTCGACCAAACGACGTCAAAACTCAAATGAATAACAAACTCCATCAAAAGAAAAAGGGTGGCACAAGGACCAACCACGTCACAGAATTCTGTCAGACGACAATTTCAAATACTCGATCAACAATACTGTAATCCAATACAATACAAAATTGGAATCGGACTGTCCATCGTATACGATATCGTTATCATTGAAACAATGCAGCAATCTCCAATTCAATCCTGATACGTCAACAGACAATTTCAGAAATAAAACCACAAAAGTCTTTTGTATTCTCAAACCAACGTCTAAATCTAAATCCCTGAACAGACAAGATTATCCGATAAATCCAAAAACTGAATAATTGCATACCCATTATCCAGGTCGTGATTTTTCTCCAATGCCTGGGCCAAATCTGTGACCCAAAACCTTTCAACTGAACGCCGCTACGACAAACTAAAGCGATAGAATTCTAACTAAAGAGTGAACTGTATGTATCTCTGTACAACTCATATCGACTGTAATTTTATATGAACAGCAAGAATATTAATAGTATAACCTCGGGAAGTCGACCACTTACCACCCCAGTCACCGATTGGTTCATTTCTTTCAAATTCTCATATCAATTCCTGCCGACCTTCCGGATGATTCAAACTTGTAGCCTAATCAACCCTGGGTTTCCTCATGTAATAAGAACACTTCACTTTTAAACTTTGTTTGTTTCCGTTCTTATACTTTATCTGCTATCTACATTGTTCCGACCACTTGTGATCATAATCTTAAAGGGGAAGTGTCTTACAACTCCACAAAAACAGGAACCTAAATCTTTTCTCCCTGTGAATGATCAACAAAATACGTCTTTTTTAAATATTGAAGTTAATTCTAGTTTAACATTGATGTTCAAAAGGGAGTAATACTTGTTCGAATTTGTTTTGTACGTTTATAACATTTTCTCAAATTTTCTTCATTAGACTATGGTATTACAATTTTATAATGTGACGTATAATTGGAGATAATGAAGTACATTCGCACTTTTAAGAAATTGATTTTAAACTGCGCAATATACTGGGAATATATTCAAAGATAGTTTGAAATGTGTTTGATTTGCGTAAATAAATTATGAATGCCTTAAATCAAGCTACGCATGTTCAATAATTCCAATTAATTAATGCATAAATCAGACAAGAAAATATGAGTGAGAAATCAGAAAACTGAAAGCCATTCCAATGCTCTTTGCGAACTACCTGCAAGAGTAACTTCATTCTTTAGAAATTCCAGTAAATGAATGAATGAATGAATGGAAAAGAAATCAAGGCACTGTGGGAACAAACCGTTAGAATAACCCTTTCCCCTTCCAAATCTAAATAAAATAGGGCCAATCAACATTATTTCTATTTTATGCCAGTTTTCCTCTAAATCTTAGAAACCGAGTTGTTTTCATTCCAAACAGTGTCAGAGTGACATCACACTCAGTTTTATTCATCATGGAATTTCACTTTGGTTGGTGAGGTCTATTACTGTAACACCACGCCTTATTTTAAGTGTGGTTCAAATTCTCTACTGTAAACACCAAGTGAATGGAGGGGACAATTTTGAAAACTGAATGCAGGTGCATTTTTAAAAGGAAAAAATAATCACTGGCCAGTGTCAGTAAGTTGGTCAATAGTGCGAATTTTCTTCTGATATACACAGAGCATGCAATAGTAATTGGTGTATGTGGTATTTTAGAATCTATAAAGGTGGCTCTATGTTATAGATTGGGTGAGTGGAGGAGGGGGGGGGAGGGGGTTCTCCTCATGACCCATTTGGTGCTGATCAGCATTGGAATGTGTCAGTTCAAATGATAAGAAATCTATTCCAAGTTTCCATTTCTATAGCCAGTCATGCTTCACTCAAATTTCAAAGTCGTTTACGCAACATACATGAATCGTTTGAGCAGAGGGGGTGGCCAACAGTTTTTGCATTCTGTCAATATAATTTAAAACAACTGTAAGGCCAAACAAAGAGAAGCTGATTACAAAATTGTATAAGATCATCTAGAAGCTGAGTTCAAGCTTACTGACACTAACAACACGATTCCGGCGCTCACTTGGGCCCTTGAAAATTTTTGCCACTTTGCATGAACCTATTGATTGTTTTCTCATCATTTTTGTAACATAAGACAGGTTTTATTCATTGCCTCTGACTCATACATCTAGACATTCTTTTTTTAATTTAATCAAAAGTAATAAACATACCTAAAAGTTAGATCTTTTTTCTCCCATTTACTTGGTGCCAGCGTATATCTTTTCTTTCTGTGACCAAACACTATTTTGTTATCATTCACACCGCACCGTGGTTTCTGCATCAGTTCTTGTGTGCGCCTGTCCATCACACCTGTCTGGGGGATCCGTCCGAGGCGCTGCAGTCGTTTGATCCCCTCCGACAGATCCTTCATATCCATGAGGTTCCCCGTTTCCTTGCTGGCTCCGGATAAATAACCGAATTTCCGTAAATATTCCTGAAATTACAAGAATGACATGTTAAATACGAGGCTGAAGAAAGGTTTCTGTTAGATGATAAAATAATCAGATGCAAGAATGGTATATTTTATATTATTATAATACGAGATTGAAGGAAAAGTTATATAAAATGATCAATATCTATCATTCTTTTTGCTACATTATCCAGCGAGCACATTTTGCAAAACATAAAAACAAAATAATATACAGATGTTGATTCAGACCTGGAGATTCAGGTAGCTATAAAATATTATCTAAAAACGTTGAGTGTGGTTTTCCATTTGTAAATTTTAATTATGTAATGTGTTTCAACGTGAAATTTGCATGACCATGTTAACTTAGATTCTAGGGGCCTGTGTTCCATGGTCAGCCTTAAGTCAGCAAAAGCATTTGAAGAATGCATAATATTTTTTCAACTGAAAGGTAGTAACGGGTTGCTCTAAACGGTGTTCTGTTGTCAGTACTATTCTGTATAGTCAAAATAAGTGCATGACAAATCACTCCACACTTGTGTATTGGTGACACACTTTCAATTCAAAGTTCGTGTTTTGTTTTGCAATTCCACTAAACTTTTTCGTTTTATGACATAACTTTCGCAAAGGCCCTTGGTAAAGTTGTGTGCTGCATATGTAATTGCACGAATCACAGACACCTGACTGTAAATTGGAATGGTGCAAATGAAAAACATTCACGGCCCTGATACACATTACAGTAATCTATAACCTCTTTAGAAAAATATCTATCAAACTATTATAAAGGATTGGACTAGTGTTATGTTATCTATAACTAAATTAATTGTGTCAATGAACTAACACGCAATAAGATGCTTGAATTTAACCTTTGACTGGTGAAGATGATTGTAAAGAGGAAGTAAATGATGGTGTTTACGGAAACATGGTATATATAGATATCAGATATACTATAGCCTACTAATACAAACAATAGGATATAGATCGCCATATATTTACAATGTATCAAGGTCACGACACCCTTCACATACAAACTTCGAATCCATTTTAATGAAATAAGTTCTAGGACAGAAGCCTCGTAACATAAACTCAACTAAGATAAAATTCTACATTTTAAGAAATCCAGTAATCTGATTGGCTTATAAATGTGAATTTACAAGCAATATTAGTGGTTGACCAATCAGATGATTGAAAGACTGAACCATTCTAAATTTGCGTGAACCAGATCCTTTCATGGATTGTTCGCATCATTGTTATTACAATGCTTTGCCCATTTTCTCTATAGGGCAATAGGGCACAGTCATGTTGGACCTTTGGACCTTTTTTCAGAATTTAGGCCTACGTGTGCATTGTGAATATGGTCCAATGTTGGACGTAAAACGTTTGTTTTTAAGCTAATCGACAACAAGGATGATTTGGAACAAATTCTTAGTCTTGAGACATTTCATTCAATCTCTGCTCTGATCCTCCAAACACAAACTTTTGAATGAACCTTCAAGCCTATAGTGGGCGTTGTCAGTTTAAAACCATTCACAAAATATTTGAAACTGGTGTCTGGTAGTTAGAAAGACATAAATTGTAGAGCTAATCTTTAACCCATCTGGTGGTAACTCGAGACTAACTTCTCTCCTGTATTTTAAACAGAATCGGTTCACATCAGCCGAGATACCATAATGACCCAAGAAACGCTTTAAATTCAATTTCATTGGCTGATAAGAATCTCGACCAGAGCGTGAGAACATTCGACATAAGACGTGAATCGACTTCTGCTACTGTCATTGCCGCCAAAAGCACGGGTGACCTGAATCGTGGTAATATTATAAGTCATCCTGGAAACATGTGGTTTACATTTTAATTTCATCACCGACCATTTCAACATTCTTTATATTTCAGCTAATGAAATAAAAGGGTACCTTAGAAGTAATTTTAGTCTTTCTTTGATGATGGCCAGTCTATCTAGGGTTAATCATTATTCAGTTCCACTCGACCCCTGACCGAAGGGTTAACAGTCGTCCAATGATACGTCAAGGAATCCTATGCCGATATGAAGATTGGAAAATGGAAAAAAACATGAAACCAATGAACCTGCATGATTCTTAACCGTTAATCTAATTTCAGAGTCCAATGAAATCGACAAAACGAGAAAAAACATTTCTGCATATTTTTGGGTTGTGTATTAATAAAATTGGAAAAGTATGTAACTAATATAGCTCACATACACATTTCAAATTTTCTAATTGGACAGACTTGATTGTTCGGGATGGAGGAGATGAATTGGTTTTCAGAAATTTTTCAAGGGGCTAATGCATTTGTTTAGGGGGGCAGGTGAGGGATTGTGTGGCATATGATATGCAAGCATATCTTGTTAAATCAATATCTTTAACATTCTGGTTTTTAAATAGTCAATATATTTCGTTTAAAATGAGCCTCAGAAGTGTAAGTGACCCTTCAACGAGCAGTTTCCTATTTGATCAATAGTTGTTTTTTAGTTACGATGTTCAGTTGATACATTCCATATTGTCTATTTATAAACACTCAACGACTGGGCTGGCTTTCATATCAGATGTGTTGCAAAGTTATCTCCCTTGTAAAAATTAAAAATCAAAAACTTTTGAAATGTGAATAATTTAATTTCCAGTGCACTTGGGAATAGTGTTCATCATGACTTCAGAAGTTGTCTGCCCCTGATTGGTTTAATATTGGTTTGTGAATATAGGAGTTATCTCCCATCTAAAGTGTATAGTTCATTTCACTGTTATTCCAAAAGAATATAATGGTATGTCTTGAAATGAATACAAGAGAGTGGATTAACAAGATGAGTTTTACGCTCAACGTTCTGGCTTAAATGTCTTTGATAACACGCAGGTACTGACACCTTCTGGAGAATAGTTGTAAAATAGAGACAATTACATCTTATAAAAAAAAATTCTGTTTGCTGTAAAGTAAATTTTGTACTTTTTGATCATTTTAGTCTTAAATTTATGATTATTCAAAAATACTGCTGTTTGAACTAATTACTGTTCTACTGTCCAAAAACATCATGTTCGAGGGTTTATATGTCATCGAAACGTCCCGAAGGCCGATTTTTTACAGATTATGTTCTGTGGGCTCATTCGCGAAAACGTAGGATGATTTCAGTGTTCCAGTTATCTGGTTTGTCAATCACTAAAATCGATTAAAAATTTAATTATCCAATCAGATTACTGTATTTATTGAAATCTGAATTTTATTTCGAGAATAAGACGACAGGGCGACATCCAATTTCGTCCAGTCTGTTCAACTCTTTTACTAATGATATCTTGAATGTTTCAGACGTTTATTTACCAATGATACAGTAAAACATATTTTACTGGGCCTGTTATCGGTAGTAGTATGTTATTTTGGTACTAAATGGTTTTATTGTCGGACCCCCCACCCTCGAGACGGTGTTGAGATGAGATACGAGTAAAACTAAGGTTGATGGTGAAATATTACTAATGGATTAGATGTTTTTAACTTATCTTTATTCTGATAGATACAAATGTACTCTGATAGTTATAAAACAGATGGAGGCGGACCGACAGGGAAAGGGGAGATAATATACTGTACGGTTTGCATATCATTGAAATTTGAAGCTGATGCTTCAGAACAGATGTAGGCCGACTGAAGGATAGAAGAGATGGAGGTGGGGGTAGCACTGATATTCAAAGTATGTTAATGTGTAAATCTGCAAAAATACAAGATTTAAACAAATTTAACTAGTATTTTTTGTTAGTTCAACCAGACAGATGTTTCAATTCATAAAACAATATTCGGTCAAGATCGATTTATCAAAAAGTTAATCGATGCCATTTTCATATTGCAAGCAAGAGGCGTATCTAGAAAATGCACGAGGAGGGGTCAAAAGTGATTGGCCAGGCCAGGCCCACCAGAAGCCAACGGTTTGAGATGAATTTTGAGCATAAGAGGGCTTCATTTTCACTTCACTGTTAGGCGGAGAGGGAGGCCATGGCCCAATGGACCTCTCCCTTAATACGCTACTGGTTGCAAGTTACGTAACTACAAGAAGAATCTTGTCAGATTCTGGTTGAGACGTAGATACACCAGAAGGATTTGTATTTTATTCGATGACTGATAAGTAATACTCTATGGTTATGAATGGCTGACTAAGGGGGTGTAGAGAAGTAGGTCGGTTGGAACTATGCCACGTCAGTATTTATGTGACCTGATTATTTTACTCAGTATAATGATAGATTTAACATTGTGTATAAATACTGTTAATTACTAAGACACCTGTCTCTTCTCAGCATAATATACAGATGATGATCATGGTGGCCTGGGTGGGAGTGGGGGCTCTCTTAATAATATTGTGATGATATGGGTTGTGGGCTGGGCAGATCATGCTTATTTCATTAGAAACACAATGATGAGCAATAGCCAATCATTATTTGTATGTCACTTGTATTGCTGATTGACCTGTTAAAAAACTTCCTGATCATTCGGGGGGACTCCGACTAGCGTGGTACGGACGACATTCCTTTCTCTTGTGGTGCCTAAGTACTAAATAGTGTATCCATTGTGACACTCGGGATGCAGATATGTGACGACTGTGGACAATGGGGTTATAAAAATAACTTTACAATATGCACGTGCATTATATAGGTCATATTAACACAGTCATGTCAATCAATGCCTCGTCAGGTCTACTAAGCACGTACTTTACAAACGGAATAACATACGTTGACTTATTTACACCATGTTTATAATAGTTGATCAAAGGCTTTCTTCAAATCATTAAAAAAAACTAGTACTACGATAGAAATCAGTACACAGATCCTGAGTTGTATATCGCTACTTTCATCGACTGGTTAAAAAGATTCTAGAACTAGGTCGGTAAACAGTAAACAATTTTTATTCGATATTCTTTAATAACTTTTACCTTCTTTCACGATGATTAACGATAAGTAAATAATAAGTAATTTTGATTACTGAAAGAAAAACAACTTTGATGTTTTAATCGCGAACAGATCATTACTGGTCGAAGTGTAATT